TAATTAAACAGTGTCAACCCCTCCTGACTTTGGACTGTGCAATTGTGGACACATCTGCATACAAAACTGAATCATACTATACACATTGCTCAGCCATTCATTTCTCAGCAATTCATTTCTGTTTCTCATGTATATCTTTCCATGTCAATACAAGTTCGATTTTCTTTAAAAACAAATGAACAATATTTTATATGGATGTGTGCCTGAGTGTATATACACTGCATGCATGTAGTGCCTGAGGAGACCAGAAGATGGCGCTGTGGGTGGTTGTGAACTCCCTGACGTGGGTGCTGGATGGGATCCTCTACTCTTAACTGCTGAGTCATTGCAACAGTCTTTAAAATTAAAGGTCAGAAAGCAACTTTTGGGAGTTGGTTTTCTTATTTTCTGCTTTCTTCCAGAAAATTTTCTCATATGCTGGTTGTTTTTTTTTTTTAATTGTCAACTGTATACAAACCTACACGTACCTAAAAAGGGGAATTTTAATGGATAAAATGCCTCCACATGTTTGACCTATGGACAAGTCTGTGGCTATTATTTTGATTCCTGGTTGACATAGGTGGTGTCATGGCTGAGCTGGTGGTCCTGGATGGTATAAGAAAATGAACTGGGGGGGGGACATTGTAGGACCTAGTGGTGTCCAGGGCACCACAAGAAAATCCACAGAACCAACTAACCTGGGCTCACAGGGCCTCACAGAGACTGAAGTGACAGCCAGGGAACTTGCATGGGACTAACCTAGGCGCTCTACATATATGTTATAGTTGTGTAACTTGGTCTTTGTGTGGGACTCCTAGCTATCAGAGTGGGGGATGTCTCTGAATGTGCTGCCAACTTTTGGGACCCATTGCTCCTGCCTTATCCAACCTTGGTGGAGGAGGGGGTGCCTGGTACCACTGCAGCTTGGTACACCATGGCTGACTGATATCCACGGGGTGCCTGCTTGTATCTGAAGAGAAACAGTGGAGGAGAAGTGAATGGGGTGGGGGAGGAGAAAGGGCAGGGGGTGACTGGGAAGAGGGGAGGGGGAGCTTTGGTTAGGATACAAAAACAAGAAAAAATAAGAAAGCAAACTGAGCAGGCCAAAGAGTAAACTTCCTCCATGGCCTCTGCTTCGGTTCCCGCCCTGACTTCCCTCAGTGATGGACTGTCATCTGGAAGTGTAAGATGAAGGCAGTCCTTCCTTCCCATTCGGTCACTATCTTAGTCAGTGTTCTATTTCTGTGAAGTGACACCATGACCATGGCAACTCTTCTTTTAAAGATTTATTTATTATGTATACAGTATTTTGCCTGCATGTATGCCTGCATGCCAGAAGAGGGCACCAGATCTCATTACAGATGGTTATTAGCCACCATGTGTTTGTTGGGAATTGAACTCAAGACCTCTAGAAGAGCAGCCACTGCTCTTAACTGCTGAGCCGTCTCTCTAGCCTGACCACAGTAACTCTTAAAAAGGAAAACATTTAATTGAGGTGGCAGTTTACAGTTTCAGAGGTTCAGTCCATTATCATGGCGGGGAGCATGATGGGGCGCAGGCAGACATGCTGCTGGAGAAGGAGCTGCGACATGTTGATACTCAGGCAACAGGAAGTAGACTGTCTCACTGGGTGTGGCTTGAGCATATATAAACCTTCAAAGCCTGCCTCCACAGTGACTCGCTTCCTCCAAAAAGACCACACCTACTCCAACAAAGTCACACCTCCTAATAGTGCCACTCCCTTTGAGGGCCATTTTCTTTCACACTACTACAGCCATGATTTTTTTTTTTCTGATACAGGGTTTCTCTGTGTAACTCTTGCTGTCCTGGAACTCACTCTGTAGACCAGGCTGGCCTCAAACTCACACAGATCTGCCTGCCTCTGTCTCCTGAGTGCTGGGATTAAAGACATGCACTACCACATCCAGCTAGTCAAGATGTTTCACCACAGATATAGAAACCCTAACCAAAGCCAGGCGGTGGTGGCACACACCTTTAATCCCAGCACTCGGGAGGCAGAGGCAGGCGGATCTCTGTGAGTTCGAGGCCAGGCTGGACCGACAGCCTCCAAAACAATACAGAGAAACCCTGTCTCGTAAAAAAAAAAAAAGAAAGAAAGAAACCCTAACCAAGCAGGGTGGCGGTGGCCATTGTGTGTAGAGAGAACATTCATACATAATACATATTGCTTGATGATGGGGATATGATCTGAGATGTCTTATTGGGTGATCTCATATGAAGGTCATGCAGTGTCCTTCCATAAACTAAGATAGACATGGTGTTACTTGATTTAATTTTATAGGATAATTATCCTAATTATGGTAGATTATTGACTACATATCGAATTACTGGGAGTTATGTGTTATCATACACAATTCTGTTAGAAACCTATCTTTTTTAAATATGTCAGTCTGAGTTTATGTAGCTCTTTCCCATCTTTCTGGACCTTCTCATTCTCCTCTTCTTCACAGAGAGTGTCTGCTGTCACAGCAGCCTTTCCTTTCCCTTCACTTTGGAAACTCAACAGGTGTCTCTCTTGTTTAATGACCTGCTTAATGGATCCTATCCATTTCCCTCCGATTATTTTATTATGAACCAGGGAGATGGCTCAGATAAGCCTAACAAGTCAAGGTTGGTCTCCAAATCCACCAACGCTGGACAAAGTAGCTCAGACATCTACTGAGATATAGGAAGTGGACAACAGATAATCTCCAGAAGCTTCCAGACAAGGTAGTTTTCTCAGTGGTGAACAACAGGTATCCTGTCTCTCACAAGGTGTAAGGTGAGGCTCAACATCCAAGGTCTGACTCTCAAACACACACTCAAAGAGGCGCATTCATTCCCACGCTCACTTACCCAAATTATGTTATTGTGGTAAATATGTATGTGTGTGTGTGTTTATGTATATGTGTGTATATATGTGATGGTATTTACCATCTTTAATTTGCAGCTCAGTGGCATTAAGAGCTGCTGATTTTTAAATGTTCCCTCTGTGCCTTTGCTATGGGATAATTAGTACAGCAGTGGGAAACTGACACATTTTTTGATTGCTCATTGCAGGCTTATAAAAATGCAACTGATTTTTGTGTGTTAATCTGTCTTGCAACTCTGATGAACTAGCTTGATAGTTCTGGCAGCTTAATGGGTTCCTATTGACTTGGAACATCTCTAGAAATCAAGTAATATTATTTTTAAATGTAATTTTACTTCTTTTCCAACTTGGATTCTTTTATTTATTTGTTTTTATCTAGTTTATCTGGCTGAAACATCTAATAAAGGCAGAATAGCAGCAGTGAAAGCAACAGCCTTTGTCTTGTTCTTGACCTTTGACACAAATGTTCAGCTTTTCACCACGGAGTATGGTACTAGCTGTGGACTTTGTGTAGATGGCCTTTGTCATATTGTGTAAGCTTTCTTTCATGTTTCCTTCCATTTTTCTCATGGAACAATATTGAAGTTTGTCAAATGCCTTTTAGTGTCATTTGAGATTATCACATTTCCCCCCATTTTTTTATTGTTGTTGTTGTTTTGTTTTTTGAGACAGGGTTTCTCTGTGTAACTTTGGAACCTGTCCTGGCACTTGCTCTGTAGACCAGGCTGGCCTCAAACTCACAGATATCCGCCTGCCTCTGCCTCCCGAGTGCTGGGATTAAAGGCAAGCGCCACCACTGTCCCGTGCTTGTAACTGTTCATGCTTATAAGTATTCTGCCTTCATGATTGATTGATAACCTTACTGGGTCCACGCGTCTCTTTTCTTTGACCATTTTAATTTTCCTTTTTCCTTGCTGGTAATTGTTTCTGGGGCCTCATTCATGGTAGATAGGTACACGTTCTACCACTGAGCTGTAATTCCTTGCTCTCTCTTTCCCTTTAAAGTACTTGCCATAATGTTTCACCAACAATTGCTATGGAGAAACCCAGTGTTATTATCATTTACGTTCCTCGATTTTGTTCTCACTGAAAGCTTTCCTGTCTTCTTTTTATTCTCTCTCTCTCTCTCTCTCTCTCTCTCTCTCTCTCTCTCTCTCTCTCTCTCTCTCTCTCTCTCTCTGTCTCTCTGTCTCTCTGTCTCTCTGTCTCTCTCTCTGTCTCGGTTTTTTGAGACAGGGTTTTTCTGTGTAACAGCTCTGACTGTCCTGAAACTCACTCTGTAGACCAGGCTGGCCTTGAACTCACAGAGATCTCCTACTTCTGCCTTCCAAGTGCTGGGATTAAAGGAGAGCACCACTATCGCCTGGCTTCTTTTTATTCTCATTACTCTGATATCTTACAGTATTGCAGTTTGGTACTATTCCTCTGTCCTGGCACTCAGTGTGATCTTTCAATCTGGAGATTAGCATATCTTCATATCTTAATTCTGCTTTATTTTATTTTTATGTGTTTGATGTTTTGCTTGCATGTATGTCAATACCACATACATATCTGGCACCCTGAGGAGGCCAGAAGAGAGCATCAGATCCTCCCAAACTAGAGTCACAGATGTTTGTGTGCATGAACACAGGTCCTCCGTGTCTTAGCCCACTTAGTTTAGTTTTTTATTAATATAACTCAATGTTTGACTGGTGTGCTGATTTTCCAGTATTTTTCCTATTTTCATCTCATTGTCTTCGTCTGTTTGGAGCAAGCTAGCCTTGAGTTTGTGCAATCCTCTTGCTCTGCCTTCTGAGTGCTAGAATTATAGGTTTACAGGATTGCAGCCATGCCACCCTCCCTGTATCCTACTTTCTAGGAGGAGTCCTCACCTTTAACATTCAAACCTTGTGTTAAAAGTTTATTTCTCCAATCACATGTTAGGTTCCAAAGCCTTTCCTTATGTGTCAATGTCTCTTTTATTGCAGCTATCTGGTCAAGGATTAGCTTCCAGGAAGAGGAGTCAACTTCTCCACTGTGACAGGAAATGAGGAGGTCAGATGTGGGTGAAAGACACCATGTGATAAGTGGCCGGGAGGGGCAGGTTTTGTTTCCTGGGACGTATGTGGTGAGGCCACAGAGATGATGAAAGGGTAATGGTATAGGAGGCTTGAGGAATGTGCAAAGGAAGGCTGGGGCCAAGCTCCTGAAGGCCCAGCTGCTCCTTAGAGAGCCGTAGGAGTTCAATTCACAGAAGCCTCAGGCCATCAGTTCACCTTGACACCAGTCTGTCCAGTCTGATAAGCTCCTGCCCCTAAGGAAGAAGCTGGGCTCTTGGACAGTTCCATGGTTGGCATTCTAGTCAAGTGGTTTGGAAGGGCAGCGGGGCAAAGGAATTAAAGATTTTGAAGAGATGGCTACAATGAGCTTATCATGTCCCCTCCACTCGCATACTCTGGTAAGTGTAGAGCTGAGCCCTCCAGCTTGACATTTCTGGACAGAAAGCTTCATGCTAATTTAAAACTGGAGGGTCCATTGAACTCTCTGGCCTTGATCATTTGTATAAAATGTCATGATATCAGGCCCCAGGGGTTCTTATTGTTTACATTTTTTTTTGTTTTTACGAGACAGGGTTTCTCTGTATTGTTTTGGAGGCTATGGGTCCAGCCCGGCCTCGAACTCACAGAGATCTGCCTGCCTCTGCCTCCCAAGTGCTGGGATTAAAGGTGTGCGCCACCACTGCATGACTCTCTCTCTCTCTCTCTCTCTCTCTCTCTCTCTGTCTCTCTGTCTCTCTGTCTCTCTGTCTCTCTGTCTCTCTGTCTCTGTCTCTGTCTCTCTCTCTTCTTAGCAATAGCATCTCATGTATCTCAGGCTAGCCTTAAACTCACTATAGCAAAATGGCCTTCAGCTTCTCATCTTCTGTTCTCCATCTTCCCAGTGCTGGAATTGCAGGATTATCTCCACAGACCTGGGTCATGTGGTGTTGGGGATCAATCTCGGATTTCCTGTGTGCTGGACAAATGCTCTGCTCAACAGCTCTACCCTCTAACATTAAATCCTTAGGTCCATATCTGGCATCTGGAGCTCTTGGTGGAATCATCTGGGCTCTTCCAGCCTTCCACACTCCTCCCTTTCTATCTCTGCTGCCTGCAACACAGATAACCAACCTCTCTCTTAGCCTAGCTCTACTTCACACCTGCAGCTTTCCTTGGTGGACACCCCATGAGGAAAGACACCCTGGTATCTCAAAAATCTAGGTGTCTTCATTGTAACTTGGGGTCCACCCTCGTAGATTCATATAATGGTGATCAGGGCCTCCTTTTAAACAACCCGGCCCTATAGCACATCGCCTACCCTCAGCGGCTTTGTGGCACTGTGGAGCAGGCTTCCACAACCCCATCACACCTACAACTCTTATGCTTGCAGCAACAGAGGCATGTGGATGTTCCTGCCAAGTTGTCCTGCCAGCCCGAGACACCTTCTGGCCCACTTATACCACAGCCTCTACACACCTTGGTGGCTGACTGTGAGGACACTTTCTGAGGTATGTGTTTCTAAGCAGGGAATCCCCTCTACCCAGGCATGTTTGTAAGCAGGGAATCTCTTTCATGGTGTTCTCAATCTGGCTTTCTCCTTTCAATACATTTTTATTTTTACAAGCCCGATCCTTTAAAGTATAAAATTCAGATTCTTTAGGAAAAAGGTTCTTAACCTCCCTAATGCTGTGATCCTTCAATACAGTTCCTCATATTGTGGTGACCCCCAACCATAACATTATTTTCATTGCTACTTCATAAGTATGATTTTGCTACCACAGTGGATTGTAATGTAAATATCTGTGTTTTCTGATGGTCTTAGACGACCCCTCTGAAAGTGTATTTTGAATCCCCAAAGGGGCTGTGATCCACAGGTTGAGAACCACTGCTCTAGGACCTCTACCTAATAGCAGAGAGAAGGAATTGGTCTCCTCAGATATGGCAGCACTGATGTTCACCTGTGTGTTCTGGGCATTTCACCACCAAAAGAGAAACAGACTCTGGCTGTAGACTGTTCAAGGATGTGAATTTATTTAATGTTGTTACAATACACAGACAAATCATACTGTATTTTCTTTGTAATGTTTCCTCCCTCAAGAGTCACTTTAGTTTAAACCAGAGTATTTTCTTTAAGAATATTTAAGAGAACACACTCATACACCACACACACACACACCCATACACACACACACACACACACACACACACACACACACACACACACACAGAACAAGAACAAAAATGTAACCCCATCGTAGTACGTGTGAATGAAAGTGGAAACAGGCCTTGTTTTCAAACTCTGTAACTGTTCTGTCTGCCTTAGGAATTAAGCAGAAAGTTCATCCCTGTCCTAGGCCAGGGCTGGGCAGAGGCTGGACAAGCCTGCCGGGAACAACGTGTAAGTGGCTCGGGTTGCTAGAGACCAGAGTACAGGGTGCCAGAAACAGCCACCCACTCCCTCTCCTCCTGTTCTCCCAGGTCAAGGTGCAATGCTCTCATCAGGGGACCCAATGGGTGGTGGAATGGTCAGAAGGCAGATTTCTTTTGACTTTTTTTTTGTGATTCAGTTTCTTTCCAGAGTCTAATGTGAGTGCAGAGCTTCTGAGGTCTCGGAGGTTGGGAGGCCTGCGAACCCTCTTCTCCAGCCAGTTTGTCCATCTGGCCTTTTCCATACTGGCAGAGCCACATGTCAACGGCTGCTGTCGCTCTCCGTGGGAGCTGTGTGGTCTCACAACACCAGTCAAGAACACGGAACTTCTTGACTTCTCAGACAGACCAGTCAGTGAGGGACGGGTAGGCTAAAGACAAGGTGGCAGGTTCCACAGCAACCTGGACAGCTGAGAGAGCAGAGGCGGGCTCCTCCTTACTCCCAGCAAGGGGACAGTGATGTCCTACCTATTAACCTAGCCCTCCCTCCCCCTTGGCGGGTCTTGCCCAATGCCCTCCCAGAAAGGCTGTACTCAGAGTTGCCCTTGAGGGCTGAAAGGGAAAGGCAATCTGAGGCTCTTTCCTCAGGGTGTCAAACGGCTGTCCCCCAGAAGCTGTCTGGCCTAGGGAGGGGAGGTCCCCAAAGGGATGAAATAGGAAATCAACAGAACTTTTGGTTTCTCACTTCTGAGGAAATAATAAACTTCATAGTTTAACAATAGCCCTTAGTATTTCCAACATCACACCTCACACCGGCGCCTGATAGAATCTGTTGAGTGACCAACACTTACGTACACACACACACACACACACACACACACACACACACACACACACACACCACAGAGCTTACAAGTGTACTGGACTGGGGGACGACCCTGCTCTTCAGCCTGCAGGCTATCTCAGCACCAGATGAAGCTTGGCACTGACTTCCACTTATGGGCGGGGTGGCTTCTGCTGGGCTCTGGTGCTCCCCACATAGGCTTGGGGTGAGTTTGGCAGTAGTTAAGTGGAAACTGAACCTCCACTTGCCCCAGCAAGGAGCCAGCTGGCAGTGAGAGACAGTTGAAAGGGCTTACGGGACCAGAGAGTTCAAGGACTTGAGAGGGAACTTCCCAACTCTGTACTGTAAGTGGCCTTTCTTAGACTCAAGAGCAAAATGAGAAATGTTTAAGGGACACAGTGAATGTGATGTCACAGGGGTTGTGTGCTAGACAGGGCTACCCTCTCCCGGCAGGAGGCTAGGCCAGCGGGGGCCTCTCACTTGTGTAATATCTTGCCCGAGAACCACAGAAACAGAGAGGATGCTCTCTGGAGCTACCCTTCAGGCCAAGGACTCCAATGTGTCTGACATCCTAACCTGCACTGCCTATCAGTCCAGCCTGCATCTTCCCCATGCCCAGCAGATTGCATCTGCTGGTGTGTAGGTGGCATCAGGGAATGGGCTCCATTTATTTTAACCTGGGCTCTAACCATCTGCTCACTCTGCTGGAACTAAGCCCCGGACCTGGCCACTCCAATGCTGAGTGGTCCTCAACTGAACATGTTTGGGAAGGTGCCTTGGCTCTGGATCTCCACCTAGAGGCCAGGGGAAAAAACAGCCACAGGCTCCCAATGGGAAACTCCCGTATTTCCGAGACTTACACATCTACAGGAGATGAGCCATGGGGTCTGGCTGGACCGGGCAGCAGAGGAAGGGTACACAGCCAACAGTAAAAATGGAGGAGGCACCTTTTACGTGTAAATATGTATGCCAAAGTCATGGCCATTTCTTAGCGGGAGGGGAGGGGCCAGGGAGAAGAAAGCACATAGATGCCAAAAATGACTCGTGTCTGAGTAGAGGGTGCCAACTGGACCAGCTCCTCCTAACTCCTAAGACAGTAACCAAGGTAGCTGAAGATGTAGGCTACCCTAGCCAGGATACCTGCAGTCTTTCTATCAGTCTGGCCTCAGTTCAGTCACACCCTCACCGGGGCAAACTGGAGACAAATGGAGTCCAGGACTGAGGACCAAGACTCCCTTGCCCAGGCTCCTCTGCTCCCATCCACCTTCTAGGAAGGGCCAGCCCTAGTCAGATCATGAGGACAAGGGTGCAGGAAAGGAGCACCATCGGAGGAGGAGCCCGGCACGGGTGGGAGGAGGGTCCACCTGGCCAATCACTTAAAGGTGTCGTCAGTGTTTTTGAACATGAGAATGGCGTTATAGATCTTCAAGGCTGGGCCCAGCTTGACATTCATGATCTTCACAATGTCCGCCTGTGTCAGCAAAAGCAAGGCCTCGCCGTCAATCATCTGGGGAGCAGGAGAGGGAGGAGGGAGCCGGAGGAGGAGGAGGAGATGGCGGAGAGGGGAGAGGTGAAGGGAAGGTAGGGGTGGATGTGTGAGGGAGTGTGGGGGGGGAAGGAGCATGTGGCAGGGGAGAAAGGGAAGGGGCAAAGAGAAAGGACAAGGAGGAAAAAGGAGAAAAGGAAGACAGCCATGGGATGGAGAAGGAAAGCAAGACAGCCTGGTTCCCCATGTTATACACAGAGTTTCCCTTTCTCTTTCTCTTCCTCTTTCTCTTTCTTCTCTTTCTCTTTCTCCTTCTCCTTATCTTTCTCTTTCTTTTCCTCTTCCTCTTTCTCTTTCTTCTCTTTCTCTTTCTCCTTCTCCTTCTCTTTCTCTTTCTTTTCCTCTTCCTCTTTCTCTTTCTTCTCTTTCTCTTTCTCCTTCTCCTTCTCTTTCTCTTTCTTTTCCTCTTCCTCTTCCTCTTCCTCTTTCTCTTTCCCTTTCTCTTTCTGTGTCAGTGTCTATACTGGAAAATCCTCTTTGGAGCCCTTACAGACAGTAGCTTCGAGAAGCCAGCTGCTGGTAGATAGTTGTGGGGCTTCGTACTTAATGAAGGTGCACATTAATACCTTGTTTGAAAGTTATTAAGAATTTAGTGACATCTGAGCACAAAGCCAAGTGCCAGGTCCTTCTACACACAGGGTCCAGGGAGGATGCCCAGGAAGCCAGGCAGGCTCCTGGTCTGAGCAGTTTCATTTATTAGTCATCCTTCAAAACTGCCTCCTGAATTCATTTTGTTACCCCGGTAACAGCTTCCATATCTACGCATGTGATCTAGCATTTGTGAAATGCCTGCCTTCAAAACAAAACAAAGGAAGATGAGAGAAACCCCATCATAGCCCCAGTGGGAACCCACTAGTTAGTCTTGGAGCTACTGATGGCAAGCTGGGCAGACACTGCACTTTGAGGGTTATCACATGGGGTACAGTGTTACCTCTGACCTCTTCCTGTCCCCAAATCAGAGAGACAGAGAACACTTGAATCTAATGAAGGCTTTGGATTGATTTCTAGTTTTAATTTTTTTCTATCTCAATCATTTATTTTGTGTGTGGGGGTGTGGGTGTGAATGGGGATGTGTGGTATCCCTACATGCATGTGGGGGCCAGAGGACAATTTTTGGGAATCAGCTCTCTCCTTCCACCATGTGAAGCCCGCAGACTGAACTCGGGTCTTTAGGTGTCAAGCGCCTCCACCTGCTTAGCTACCTTGCTGGTCCTCACTTCTAGACTTTTAAAAAACGTCACAGGAAAAAATGAAATGAGAAAAAGAAGAAAAAGGGAGGTTACTATTTTAGGATGGAAGGTACTTAACGGCTTATGAACACCTGAAATAATTTATGTGGGCCTTACTTGTCTCAAGAACTATTTTTAAAAAATGCTCTGAGGTCACAGGAAATGTAGATATGGGCAGGAGCTACCCCTGATTTCTGGTGCAATACCAACATTGTATAAAAGTCACGAGTCACAGTACTCAGGGGTGACTCATGATGGTGCCTGTAATTTACCTCAGCCTCATCCTACGCCAGACAAAGCCAGTGTGTGAAAGGCTCATAAGTGCACACTCTAGTCAGGGAGGAGAAAAGCCAGTTGTGAGGAGGGAGTAGGACCAAGGAGACAGAGGAAGGAGGTTGTACGAGGCCAGGGACTCAGGACGGGAAACCACCTAAATGTCCATGAGCAGGAGGACTGTTGTCTGTTCATTAAATAGAAAAAAAACTGTGAGTGTGTACACAACACTTCCCCCAAACACTACAGGGAACAAAGAGAGACCCCACAGAGCACCTGCTGTCTGATCCAGCTTACGTAATTCAAGACTGGGTTAAACCAATCTATACTGCTATAAACCACAGTGCTAGAAAAAAAAAAGTGCTTATGTTTTAGGGTGGGGACTGACCAGCAGAGGTTGAGGCAGAACTTTTGGTGTTATGGGAATGGTCTGTCTTGATTCAAGTACACACATTTCATAAAACTTGCGGTGTTGGATGTTCACCTCAGTCAATTCATCTGGGGAAGGTGGGGCATAGCTACTGAGCAGTGGTAAAGAGCAGCCTAGCGTTCTAGAAGCTCTGGGTGCAACCCTTAGTACCCTATCCAAACCAAACCAAACCACACCAAACCAAACCAAACCCCAAACAAACAAAAGTGAAAACAACAAGCTACCCAGAGAGAAGGCAATCAGTATACTGGTTCCAAATTGGTCAGAAGGTTCTAGAAACAGGAGTCCAGCTGGACACCCAGAGAAACATAGATAAGATTAGCAGCACAGGAGGCCCAGATCAGCACCCAGACCAGAAGAGGCAGACCGTGCTGGGTCTCAGGACTTCCTTCTTTCTTACGGTGCACAGACCATGCTGTGCTGGTGTAGGGGGCTGCTTCTACTGTTTTGGAAGGAAGACTTAAACACACTCAAGGGCTCCTTCTACTTCTGAACTCTACGAATCAAGAAGAGTCATGAATAAAGTTCTTTATTTAAGGACAAATGTGCATAAAAGTCAGACTACCATTTATAGATGCCTCCCCCATATTGGGCTTTGGTGCAGTGGTGGGATTTCTGTATGACTCTATAATGTTGCTAGACAGATGTAGACACATGCCAGTGACATGAGCATGTAGCTATTGCAGTGAAGACTCACTCCTTCCCTCCAAAGTTCACCTGCCAGGCGGCCCTCAGTGCACTTGCTCTATCTCCATCTTAAAAACAGGAAGATGAGCAGGGCCGTGGTGCATGTCTTTAATCCCCATGTGCTGCTGGTCAAGTGGGCTGCTTACTCGGGAGGCAGGAGCAGGCGGATCTCTGTGAGTTCGAGGCCAACCTGGTCTATAGAGCGAGTGCCAGGTAAGGCTCCAAAGCTACACAGAGAAACCCTGTTTCAAAAAACCAAACAAACAAACCAAAACCAAAACCAAAACCCAGGATGATGCATGCTCAGAGACAAGCTGCTCAGATTGGGAGAGCTAGGATTCCAGCTTAGGTTGCCTCCAAACCTGGCATTCTTTCCCTGTAACTCATTGCTTCATATCATTCCTAAGCTCTTGGGTGTTAACTTTGGTCTGTCAGGATCTCTGCAACAAATATCAACACCTATGCCACCCAGCATCTGCTTTGGGCTCTGTGATTTGCAAGGATGAGCTCACTAGTGGAGCGTCTGTTCAGCCTGGTTGAAGCTGTGTTCACTCCCCAGCACCCCAACTGCTTCAATTCAAATAGCCCTAGGCAGAGAGCACAAGAGCCAATGGATTCCTTCTTCAGGATTCCCAAAAGGGATCTGAACACCGTATCCGCAAGCTGGTCCACAGTCCCTACAAGATTTCTCCCACAGACATGGGTGACTATGACTGGTCTTGCCTTGGAGGGCATCAGAGGTCCCTCTTGGGCTTGGGTAATGCTGGTGAGGGTGATGGCTTCCTGCCATCTCAATGGCAGTGACTTGGTCTCTGTCCCTCTGCACTTGGACCTTACCTCGTCTTTGAAGAGGCGCGCTTGGTCCTCAGAGCCCGTCAAGGTCTGAACGAAGCCAAAGACCTTGGGAATCAAAGGAGATACGTTTAACCAGGGGATGGGATCGAGGGGAGGGGTGAGTCTACATGGTCTTGGTGCCCCTTGGACCGTGCCAGCTGTTTCTTTCTTATCAGCCTTAGGGCAACCACATGTCTTTGTGTGGCTGTACCCGAGGGAAGGTCACGTGTTCCTTAAAGCATGCCTGTCCTGCTAGATTCCCAGCACACCCTCTCCATCCACCATAAGAGGCCTATTTTGGTCAGTATTGCTGTGCAGCTAAAGGGGTTGTGGGGAGGAGGGATGAGCACAAGGCTGGAGGCTGTTAGGTGTGGTATGAGGCTCCATCTGAGTGGCTTTGGCCCTCCCCCCCTTCCCCCCCCAGCACACGCACTAGGGTATGTTTTAGAGGGAGCCTGAGCGCAGGAAGAAGTGAGGCAAGGCTAAGCGAGGGCTCCCTACCTCTTCGATGGTCCACTTGGAGACCATGGAGGCTGAGATGCCCGCCACTCCTGGCAGGAGCTTGCAGTGCTGCTCCCAGCCCATAGAGAAAGAGCGGTCGGGGTGGGTTGACACGAAGAGGGACTGGTGTACCACACTGGGAGGGAGGGCTGGGAGGCAGAGGCAGAAAAGGATGGGCTAGTACGAGGGAGAGCTCACACGGGGACACAGGGGACCCTGGCTGGCACAACAGACAGGACGAGGGCCCCCTCGTAAAGCCTGCAGAACCACGTGGGTGACCTGGTGTGCTGCTGGTCAAATGGGTTGCTTACTCACTGGTCCCAGCACTCACCGGAGTGACCCCTGTACTCTGGACCTTGTGAGGGTGCTCTTAGAGCTGCCGGCATCACACAGCCCCTACAGCTCAGGCAGGTTCACCCCTGACATGAACAATGAGTTCTGTGTCCTTTCTGAAGTCCTTCTGGACTCTGACCAGCTCTCTTTGACTAGAGTGATTCTGGCCCAGAGAATGTGCTCTTATCAGCTGCCTTTTGCTTGCTTTCTGATCTGCTCGGGAGTCCCTGGCTCCGTGGGTCAGGTGACTGATGCTACTCTGCTTGACTTCCTCTTTAACAGGCTTGGTACTCATCCCTTGGACTTCACTCAGTTCAGCAGCTGACAGCCTGACCCCATCCTCTGCAGTAGACCAGGGGCCACAGGCAGCTTGGCCACTCTCCTGGGGGCCTACTCTGCCTTGGGCCACAGTTCAGGCTACTTCCTCTTTTTTTTTTTTAGTGCTTGCTGACTATTCTGGAGGCAGAATGTAGCACTTCCGGTGTCATCTTCTTTATGGCAGACTATCCTGTCCCATTTCACTCCCTAAGCCTCAGCCTTAAGGCTTCTTCAGCTCTTCATATCTCTACTGAAGGCCTTTAGGATTCTACCATGGCTTAGCAGGTAAGGGTACTTAAGGTATTTGCTGTGCAAGCCTGTCAGCCTCAATTAGATTCCCCAAATCCATATAAAGGTAGAAAAAGAGAACTGACATTACAAAGTTGTTCTCTGACCTCTGAGCGTACACCATGCAACTCTCTCTCTCTTTCTCTCTCTCTCCTCTCCCTCCCTCCCTCCCTGTCTCTGTCTCTCTGTCTCTGCCTCCATCTCTCTGTCTCTCTCCCTCCCTCCCTCCCTGTCTCTGTCTCTGTCTCTCTCTCTCCCCCCCAAGAACTCTTCATAGTCGGTCAGCAGGTGCCCTCTGGTGGTTAGAATGTAGCCCTGCAAATGGGAGCTGACCATAACAGAAGACGGACCACTATACCCTGGCCCTAGGACAGTCTCCTAGGAGGGCCCAGACATCAGTCAAGATGCGTGCCATTCAGGCCCGAGGCTACAAGAACTGCTTTCTGTTTCCATCAGGAGACCAGGAAGAAACAGTAAAGAGAGAAGCCAGAGAAAGGGTCTTTCCTGTGCGAGCTTCTATTCTCAGTGTCTGACTGAGGACACCAGGCTCAGGAATCTGGTGTGAGACACCAGGGACACTCACACAAGACAGACCAGCAACAGTGCAAGCAGCCAGTGGTCTGCATGCCAGGGAGAAAGGCTTGAGAAGACACCAATCCAGACACTTTGCCTGCACTTCCAGAATTTTGACATAAACAAACACCTGCTCTTTAGGCTACCCAGTCTGTGGTATTTTGTTACGGAAATTAATGCAAATGAACCCAAGGGGAATGGGTATTGACATGACATTAGGGTGCAGTGCTTTAAGTCTAATGCCAAAAGTCAGGTCCAAGTTTGCCCCTCACAAGGTGAATAACCCTGAGCGAATGATTTTGCCTCATCACAGCACTAAGAGGTAGATTTTATCCATGCTTTCAAGTGAGCAAAGTGACTTGCTCAAGATCACACACTGACAACCATGGTCTCTCGAGGAAGCCTAGAATCAGAGAAGAACAGAGTAGGGCCACTGTGCCACCTTTGGAAATCCAGACACCACGCCCCTTTCCCACAGACTGCCAGCAAGCCCATAGCTCCAGAAAGACGGCCACACAAAGCCTCGTCCCTTGCTCTTGCGCCTGCTCAGTGCACCAAAGGCTCTCAAAGCAGTGGTCTCCTTTCCAGATGCTCTCACTCTGGTGCCTCCTGGTGTCCGATCCCAGAAATCACAGGGCATTTAGTGCGCCCACTTGACGGAGGACCCTAACAGGAGACCTGCACTCACCTTGGAAATCTTCCTGCGGAATCTTGCGAGACTTTGGAGGGCGTCCAATCCTGGAGAGAGAGGGACCAGGGTCGCAGCAGAGGATCAGTGGCTGGCCCAAGAAGACACGAGGCCCCACACCCGTGAAGCCCAGGACCTGACTCCCTGGCCTCCGCACCGGCCATGATGGCGGGGCTTCTTCCTTGGGGATAAATTAGACAGGTTCTTCTTCTTGGCTGCTGTCTCTGAGTCAGACAGGTCTGCCTTCAGCCGGCTCTGGTTCCTCTCCGCCAGCGGGCAGCCAGAGAGGCAGTGATGAGCTGTGAACTTGCCTGTGACATGACCGGAACCATCACAGCCAGGAGTGGGGCACTTCCTGGGGAGACGAAGGCTTTAGTTGGGTGGACCCCCTGGTCTCTACAGAGCCCTCCCTAACCATGGCCCTGTTCAGGTCCTGGGAAATGCCGATGGGTCTCACTCCACAGCTGTAAAAGACTCTTCCTGAACCATACCTGCTTTACTCTGGGCCTCAGCTGTTACTTTACTTACCGCTGGTGTAAGTTGTGTTTGGAGGGCTTTGTGTGGGGTGGGCTCCTGTGGTTGAGAGGAAGGCAGCCCCCAGGTGAGGCATAGCTGGACTCTCTGGGCCCTATAGGGCGAAAGAGAAATCAGCAGAGTCCTGGAGACAGGGGAATGGGACAGAGAAGGGACAGTTTCCATGGGCAGAGGGAGGGGTCAGTACTGGGAACTAGTTCCTGGGAGACCTGGCCCTGAGTCAAGCTGTGCCCATTCCTGCCATTGGGTATCAGCTATCACTGGGGAAGGAAGGTTTGGCTCTTGTGTACTTCGTCAGGACTTGTGCACATGCCTTGGCTTAGTGTAGCAGGAAGTCCTGGGGACTAGGGGGACAGACATCCCAAGCTCACAGCGGCACTGGAGCCCAGGGAGGGTTGTCAGAGACTGGTGGAGAGGGAAGAACAGAGCATCCTAAGTGTACACACGGAGAGGAGGCTCCAGGGGATGTCCTGTCTTGGAGCACCAGCCTGCAGGGTGGATGTCTGGGTGGTCGGCATCAATCCAGAAGTCACAGCTGTGACTCCAGCCATCAAAGTGGAGCTGGGAAAGAAAGGCCATTTTACAGATGATAAGATTAAGGCTTGTAGAGGAAAAAGGACCTGTCCAAGCCTACAACAGTGAATCACAGATAATGAAAGAATTTCTCCAGCTTCCTATTTCATGCCATGCCTTTGACCTCTACACATTCTACAGAATTCCTGTCCCACTGACCTGTCCACTCCCCCAGGCCTAGGGTCCCAGAGCCACCTTTATCCGATGGTCCTCCACATCCTCCACACTGGCTACCCGAATCAGCGCTGGGTTCCGTCGATCTACAGCCTCCAGCTTCATGTTGACCAGGAAGCTGTGAGGGGGTCTCTGTGGGGAGACAGGTGCTTTCAGGCTAAGGCCCAGCTCTGAAGAGCTCAGGATCCAAGAAGAGAGACATGGGGGAGGCTGTGTATTGACCAAGGCCCTCTTCTGGCTGTCTGACGGGACCATATCTTCCTAAGCTCAGCTATGGGGAAGACAAGAGTCAACTTACCACTTTGAAGGCCCAAGTGGGCACAGCTGAGGTCCTGGTTTCTTCTAGATATTTCTCCCAGCAGAAGCTATCAGGGTCTGGATAGTCTGGAAAAGAGACTAAGAGTAATATCTGGGCCAGCCAGGTGGCTCAGGGAACTCTCTGTCCCCAGTTGGCATCAAGAACATGGAAGGAAGCCAGAGGTGGTGGCACCTGCCTTTAATTCGAGCACTTGGGAGGCAGAGACAGGAAGATCTCTGTGAGTTCAAGGTCAGCCTGGTCTACAAAGTCAGTACCAAGATAGCCAGGGGTACACATAGAAACCCTGTCTCAAAAAACAAAACAAACAAAAGAACATGGACAGGGTGGAGAATCTTGGGGAAGAAATTTCCCACATGTGACCACAATTAGATGCTTGTATGGGGCTCCTGGAGCAGATGGGTCCCGGTGAGAACCAAGCACACAGGACCTCAAGAGTTCAGGGTTGTTGGAATCCTAGCTCCGTCACTTCTGACTCTATTTCTCTTACTTAGTCCTAGCGAAACCTCTGCTATACTTGGGTCAGTGGTGGTCCCAAGAGGAAGGACTTTTTGCTTGAGACCCTTGCATGTTTGAGGTAATCATTTAACTTTTTCTTCCTAAACCCCAAAATGTCAAGGCTCCGGGCCCTGTCTGTTCCCTACTTTGATCCTAAAGGGCCTGCTAAGGAGGTACAGGTACCATATCTATCATGCTAAGAGACAAGGCAAGAGTGAGAGCCAGACCTGGAAAGGATGCATGCTTGGACAGTAGCCTCACCTTGTGGAGGGGTGAGGGGCTTTCCTTGCTTCTGGCACCAGCCTACCGGGTGGATGTAGGGACTGCTGGGATCACACCTGAAACCCAAGAGTATGTCATTGTCCCAGGAGAACTGGGGAGGGCTGAGCCTGCTGTCCCCCAGCATGGCACCAGGGGCTTCCTCAGCCTCCTTCCTGGTGAGAGGGAAATGGCTGACTAACACTGGGTCAGAAAACTGCCACGTTAACTGAAAACTATCACACCATAATAACTAGTGGAGATCTATGGGTGTATGTGTGTCCGTCTCTTAACCAAGGTATTTCCTGATGAAATAGGAAACACTGAGCTATGTAACCTGTGATTCAGTTCAGATCCACAGGGCAGCTCACTACCCTCCCCTCAATCCGGAGCAAGATCTGAATAACTGGGTGGGGCCACATGGTGTTTGAATGTCCTAGAGGGGATGGCCCCTGCCCATGGGCCTCTTTCCCAACAGGTCCTAGTACCAGTAGTCATAAGTGTCATCCCAGTTGTCAAAGTGCACCAGGAAGCGACTGTCCACCACATCAGTCACGCTGGCCACACAGACGAGGGATGGGTTCATTCGGTCCACAGCCTCCAGCTTCATGCCCACCTCGAAGCCCACTGGAGGAGAACTCTAGGAGTAAGAAGAGAGCTGTCACAGCCAGGGTCAGGGTGGCTGGAGCTAGCCCAGAGCCTTGGCAAACGAAGGAGCAAGTTCTCTACATGGATTGCCTGGCAGTGGGAAACGGGCACAAGAGAGAAATAGGCTGGAGATGAGGTTGCTCTGGGACACTCAGGGACCTCTGTCCTCCAAGTGCAATGATCGTCACAAGCTGACTTGTGGGAGAAGGTAAGTGATTGTCAGGAGGCTACGTATGTACCCCAAAGTCCTGGCAGGCTGAGGACAGGCTTGCTTGAGGCAGCTGGGGCAGTGGTCGGGTGGTGGGGTAGGGAGCATTGATGAGTTCCACCGCTGGAGGGAGCAGGGACACTCGTATTGGCTGGGTAGTTGCTACAAGCAGGCAGAAGCTTCAAAAGACAGTGCCTCCTCATCTCTACATGCCTGTCTAAGACAGTTATTCTCCTCTTAGAAGTGACATCTGTGACCCAGAACACAATGCCAGTTAATGGCAGGGCCAGAGGTCAAACAGTTGACTTAAAAAAATCAGCATTTCCCATCACTAGGAGGTGGGACCCTATTAATCGCCTGTTAACCCCAAGTATATATATAGTCTCTGGGGCTGGACAGGAATGGGAGAGTAACTGTCCCTGTGAATAGCATGATGGAGTCCATGGCCCTTCAATATAGTCGTGGGGGCAAGGGGCACTCTACTACTGACCTGCACACCCAGCCCCCAGTATGGAAGTATTTTCAGTGGGAGCTCCCTATCTCTCAGACCCTTTGTTTGGGATTATGTGATACTTAACTGTTTAAGCTGCCACCTGTCCCTGAACAGATTGAAAACAGGAGGTGAGCTGGTGGAATGTGACTGGATGAAAAAGGGGGAAGGCTGTCAGAATAAACTTTGACCTTACACCAATAGGCTGCAGAGCAAACCAAAGGAAGATTAACTGAGCAGTGACAAGTTAGTGACCAGGCTGCAGCAGTCGGCTAGGGCCTCTGGAGCCTGTATGGGGGAGAATTCTGCAGCAGAGAATGCTATGGTTTGTGTGTCCCCTAAAGGGCCCTGTGCTAGAAGGGGACTGGAGGCCTCTGGCTAGTTGCTGAGAGACTGAACCCTTATTAGAATAGGAAGCAGGCTAGAGAGATGGCTTGGTGATTGAGAACTTGCTGCTCAATCATAAGGACAGGAGTTCAGAGCCCAGCACCCACGACCTGCAGATGTTTGTAACTTCTGCTCCAGGTTCTGAGGGCCTCTTCTGGGCTCTATGGCACACCGGCACTGGCATATGCAGACAAAACACACAGGCACGCACAAAATCATAAAACAAAGCTTGAGCCAGGCAGAGGTGGCACATCCTTTAATCCTATATTTGCAAGGCAGAGGCAGGAGGATCTCTGAGTTCAAGGCCAGCCTGGTCTATAGAGTGAGTTCCAGGACAGCCAGGAAAAAGCAAGAAGCAAGGAAGATTGCCCTTAAATCCCTGTGACTCCCTGTGATCTCTTCCATACATGCCTTCGCCAGTGTTGGGTAATCTGCCATGAAGCCTCCTTGGAGGCTCAACAGAAAGGGCTACCTAATCACAGACTTTCTGCTTCTGAAACTATAGGATAAAGTAAGACTCTTCTTTCTGTATCAGTCAGGTTTAGACACTTTGTTATAGACACAAAATGGATGAGGGCTGGTGAGATGGTTCAGGGGTTAGAGGCATCTTCCATCAAGCCACGCTGTTTGAGTTTTGAGTCCCTGGATCCACATGGTGGAACTGGAAAACCCAGTCCCACAAGTTGTCCTCTGACATCCTCCATGAGTGCTATGTGGCATGGGCATCACACACACACACACACACACACACACACACACACACACACACACACACAAGTAATTTAAAAGAAAATGGCTGAAGGCAAGATGGAAGGAGGAAATGGGAATGTATAGCCAGCACCCCCCATTTTGACTTTGCTTTCCCCAGGCATCCCTCTTGGGCCTGAAGAGACCGGAATAGAGCTGAGAGCAGCAGATGTGCTCCCTTCTGCTGAGTCAGATTTCCCGGGCTGACTGCAGTGACTTTGGCCTGAGGGGTGGTGGTCACTTTTACCCAGATACTCACGTGACTCTGGCTCACAAACAGGTGCTTGGGGGCTGCCTGGGCTCTCGTGCTGCACAGGTACTGGCTCCAGCTGAACTCTTCCTCCTCGTAACCTGGGCCCCTCGGGGGAATGAACAGAGCGCTGTGCAGAGGCTGCGCCATGGCCAGGGCACCAATAATGAAGTAGAAACAGGCAAGTCTGAGGTCCCCAAAACCCGCAGGGCCCCTCTGCTAAAGGAAGATGGGACCGGAACACTCAGAGGCTTCAGGAGCCTCAAAGTGCAGCTGTAGCAGAATGGGACAGAAACTGGCCAAAGTTCAGCTTTCTCTCTCTCTCTCTCTCTCTCTCTCTCTCTCTCTCTCTCTCTCTCTCTCTCTCTCTCTCTCTCTTCCTTCCTTCCTTTCTGTGAGAGGCAGGGTGACTTGAAGGAGTAAGGGGTGGGTCTAGGGACTTGCTGCCTTCCAGGCACCAACCCAGGGAGGTGTTACCTTTGGGAGGCTGCAGTTTATGTCCAGTCTTCTCAAACCAACCAGCAGGATGAATGTCAGGGGAGTTGGCATTGACCCAGAAGTCACGGCACTCAGAATACCCATCAAAGTGCAGGCGCAGGCGGTAGCCACACACCTGGCCGTGGCAAGAATCAGAGATGCCACCTTCCCACTCCTTCACCTCTCCTGGTCCAGCCTGCAGTCTCAGGGATCCCGTGCTAGCAGGTACCCCGAGTGCTGAGTGCAAGATGGGCAGGCGCTATGGCAGCCTGCTGCCCTCCTAAGCCCCAGCTAGGCTGTGGAATGTACTAGAGAATGCCCTGTGTCCTAGGGTCTTCCCTTCAGCCACCTCAGCTCACTGTACACCCTCAGTACGCCCTGCTATGGCCACGCTCTATCTCATGCTCCAGAGGCCATTTTGCTGTATCTGCTTGGAATTTTCTGCTCAAACACAGGTCTTGGCCTTCCTATACTTTTCCTGCCTCCTCAGGCCAAATGGGATATTCCTTGATCTGCAAGCCCATGGCCTGTCACTGGTGCTGTGCTCATCTCAGATTCCTTTCCTAGAGGAAAAGGGCCCTATTTGATTTGAGACAGCATCCCCACCTTTTGAATCTTTCATACCTCCCCACCCCCACCCCTGCCCCCGAGCACAGACAACTTATACTACTCAGTAATACAGTATCCCACAGCTCCCCCTCTGCTTTCCAGATTTTGCTTTTAGCTTTACCTATATTCCAATGGATCGTCTTGGGTGTCTGGGCTTCCTGAGGCAAAGCAGCACCTCCCTCCCACCCCCAACAGCCCCATCACTCTCCACTGAGACAGTGGGAGGGTATTTCCAGCTCACCTCAGCCACAGTGAGGATGAAGTACATGGATGGGTGTTGAGGGTCAATGCCTTCCAGCTTCATGCCCAGTTTGAAGCCATTCTTGTTGTGGGCGACTGCCTGAGACTGTCAATGCACAGAGTGGAGACGACCCAGCTTCCATCCAGCCTTATCCTTGCCTAGTGCGCTTGGGGTGAAGGAGCTGCCTCTAGGTCCCATCTGCCTGCTAGTCTCAAAGGGGGTGAATTATTGGGGATCTGTCCTGCAAGGGGGCCCCAGAGGGCAAGAGAGCTGCAAGACCATTCTTAAGGGTTGGCTCAGGGCTAGAGTTAAGGGCTCTCTCATCTATGGTCAATGCTGAACTGGGGGAAAGGTACCAGGATCCACAAGTCAACAGGTAAGGGGTGAGCCTGGAGGACTCCCTCTAGGACACCCTTTTCAACTCTGGACATCTTCATTCTGTTAGTATGTCAAGCACTGTTCAGAAGAAAAACCCAGCAGGCCCGAGCTTGGTAGTGAGTCCCTGCATTGATAGGGTAAAATCTCCTTAGACTGATATTGCCCAACTCACATCCTGGAAGAGGCTGACTGGGGCAGTGACAGCCTTCTGCTCCTCCAGGTAGGACTCCCAGGACCAGCCTTCCTTCTTCTCACCAGACCCTGCAGAGACAAGACAGGCAGGCTGGTTCCTGGGCTGCTGCCAAGGCATGGACAACCGGTTCCCTCTGACTGAGCTCTACCTTAACCTCCAAGCAAACCTTTGTCTGCCCACATGTACCTCTTGCCACACTCAGCTATGACAGTGCCAGGCACAGGGGGCTCAGACCTGAGGCGAGGTCACAGGTTCTGTTTGTTTCTCCTCCCGCCCCCAAGCCACCGTCAGCAGAAGCCCTTAGGATTATATAGCAACTAAGGTCACAAAGTCTCAGCCACTCTGTCCTTGGAAATGTGCAGGTGAGGATTAGTGCTGAAGCCTGAGCCAGGGGACTTAATCGTGAAGCTCACAAAGGGAAGAGGAGGAAGCAGAAACGTAGGAGGGAGAACAGGAAGGAGAAAGTGGAGGAGAGGACACACAGAAATGAGATGGTTTTCCTAAGTACTTACAGGCATAGACGTACAAATGTGGGCACAAGCCTAGTGTACCCCGGTACATGGACCAATTTCAGTCTTCCCAGACATGTACATGCTGAGGGTGAGCACATATGTGTGTGACGAGTACATGTGCTCATGGGTATGAGCATGTGCAAACACACACACACAGGCACACGCAAATAGGAATATTTTATTTCCAGAGCCTACAGTTTAGGTCTTGTTTATACCCTTAACAGTACCTGGGGGAGGAGGGATGGGATGTTTTCCTGCTGCTAGACTCCTGGCTTCCATGCACAGGACACTTTCAAGGCTGTGACAAGCAGTTACCCAGAAGGTAGGCTGGCCAGCTCAGCTGAGCTGCCTTCCACTGAAGGTCACAGACAATCAGAGGCCCAACAACGCATAAGAATCAGTTTGTGTTTTGGGTGGAAACAGCACTCACTTCTGGAAACGGACTCAGCTTTGTGATGCTATCTACCACAGAGCGCGCCTAAGCCCCTTAGTCACTGAACCTAACTGAGCTCCCCACAACCCAACCCAATTGGGCTAAGACAAATATTTTGTTCATCAACTGATCCATCATTCAAATTCTCTCAGAGATTGATGTCAATGCCAAATCTAGTGCACATCTCTTCAGGGCATCCTTTGTCCTGAGTAAGATTCCTAGCACACTCCCCCAGCCCTCTACACAGCTTCATCTATACTCACCAGCCAAGGGCGTGAAGAAACAAAATCAGAGCTCAGGATGCCAGCCTAATCATGTTGCTGCTCCCCTCACCCCACCCCACTGGGATACCACACCATGCTGTCTGATTATTTTATCCAGATCACCACTGCTATGACCAAACCCTTCATAATAATACCCAGGTCTTTCTCCCTAGGTAACATCCAGTTTGCCTTACCCTCCCCAAACCGTGACACAAGCTCAGTCAGTGGCTGAGTACGTGCCAGCATTCTCATCTCAGGTACCTTTTTTGTTCCTAGGCACTCAGTCCTGAGTTCACTTCCTTTCACCCACCCTCTAATACAGCCAAGCTATAAGACACTCCCCCACCCCCGTGCCGAGGCAGACACTTCTCACAGGCACTTTGCTGATCTGTTAGCTCTTACACCACCAGCCCTCCCTCACATCACTTCCTCCCCTGCAACAGTACTTTTTTCCTCAATGTATATGGTGCCTCACCTGTACGTCTGTCTATGCACCATGTATACGCAGTGCCCGTGGACGTCAGAAGAAGGTATCAGATCCCTCTAAACTGGAGTTACAAATGGCTGTGAGTCACCAGGTGGATGCTGGGAATTGAACCCAGGCCCTCTGAAAAGCATCCAGTCTCTATAGCACCCGCCAATACTATTGTGATGCTCTCACTGGACATAGCACGTAGCGGGACTTGAGCCTTCTGTCTGTCACACACCACCTTGTTTTACCTCGACCATTTAGTGGAGCCACCTGTATGCCATGTCTGCTGCCAGAAACTGGGAGTCCAGATATGCCTCAAGGATTTAACATACATCATCTCTTTCGGAACTCACAATGCCTTCAGGTGACAGGAAGGACTGGTGGGTACCCCCTTCATAGATGAAAAAAGAGATCTTGTATTGTGTATCATCCACAGAAAAGTGGCCTGGCTCCAATACCTCTCTGTCATCTCTGTATTCCTTCTGTGGACAGGACCATTTCCTCCAGTTTCCTGCATCCTTTCTTCTCGGTGAACTTTTAGTCTCTTCTTCAAGCTCAAATAAGTCCCAAAGCTCCCAAAGCACAATCTAAATATTATACACTGATACCCAGCCAGCCAAGGGGGTGCTTGGGGCTAACATCTAGGATGGGTTTCTTGGCAAGCCATGTAGCTGTCTGTTGCTGGATATCTGTATACTGTGAGAAGATGTGTCATTGTGATTGGTTCAATAAAAAAGCTGAATGGCCAATAACTAGGCAGGAGAAGTTAGGAAGGACTTCCTGGCGGAAAGAGAGACTAGGGGATGAATCTAGGTGTGTGAGAGATGCCAGTGAGACACAGAAGAAGTCAGACATACAGAAGGGGGTAGAGGTAAAAAGCCATGTGGCAAAATGTAAAATAATAGAAACTGGTTAACCAGTTTCTTAAGTTGTAAGAGTTAGTTGGATCAGGTGGTGGTGGTGGCGGCGGCAATGCACACCTTTAATCCCAGGACTTGAGAGACAGAGGCAGGTGTATCTCTATGAGTTCTAGGCTAGCCTGGTCTACAGAGTGAGTTCCAGGATAGCCAGGACTACACAGAGAAACCTTGTCTGGAAAAACTGACAAAGAGTTAGTTGGAAGCAAGCCTAAGCTAAAAGGTCAAGCATTCATAATTATAATAAGTCTCCATGTCATTATTTGGGGGCTGGCAGTCCCAAAGAAAGTCTGACAAGAAAGTCCAACTACATTGGCACCTAACATGGGGCCATGTATACCCACTCAAGGCCCAAGAAAGCTGACAAAAGTTCTGAACATGGAGCTAGACATGGTTTCTTAGTAACCACTATCTCTCAAGCAGGCCCGGTGCTAGCAGCATACAAAGGCATGGCTTCTTGAAGAGGGCCTACTGTGCAGCTAAGCGCTTGAGCAGCTGGTATGCCACTCAGCCCTGGGTTCAAACCACAGTGCACGCACAGCTTCCCAGAACCAGGATGGTTAGGTGCAGCTGAGATGATTAGGCATGTCTGGGACAGTTAGGCACCACTGCCTGTGGACCCAGAGGGGTCAGAGCCAGCTACCCCCACCATGTGCTAAGCCAGTTGTGCAGTGGAGGGCCTGGCTCTTTAAGGTTTGTCTCCACAGTCAGAGAAGGCTGCAGACAGGTCCAGGCTGAGAAAACCTCTGAACAGGTACAGTATGCTTGCAAATGTGCTAGATGCTGAAGAAAGAAGAGAACATGGGTATAGACAGTTTATAAATAAAGTCTTTAAAGAGAGAGTAAAGTAATATAAAATAAAGAAGCCACATAAAGATGGGAAATAGAGGACATCTGGATCTGGATCCTATAAAGAGCTTTGTTAACTTTAAATATTTTTAAATGCTAATAAAAATATGGCAGCTGCTGAGAGATTGAATTGTAGAAAAAAACTACTGAATTAAACCAGCCCATATATTTTAAGAATGTCTTAACTTTAGAATAGAAGTAAAAAAAAATAGGTTGAGTTTGGGGAGAGGTTATTCCTTTGTTTCCACAGGAAACAAAAAGGTATGGATTCCTTAAAAATTAATAGAGACCAGATTTGATTGGGGGAGCGTCCTGAAAATCTTAGCTGAAGATGTGAAGGAAGAAGCCAAGAAAACTGCAAGAGAGGTGATGTTTAAGCTGATCCCTCTACATGGGAACAGCTGTGAGACTGGATGAGACATGATAAATCTTGTCGACAGAGTCCTCATGACTTATTATTACGTGTTATCCTTTCATATGGCATGGATAGAGATTTATATTACAGTTTAGTTATGCAGTCCAAAAGACTTATACCTTTTACCTACAGCCCTTTACCTGTTGACAGATGCCTTTTACCTGCTCAAACATAGAACAGAAAATCATCTTTAGCTGACATTCCATACTTCTGTTAATGCAGATATGTATGCTACCTTTAAAAGTTTGTATGTTTTCAGAAAAAAAGGACCAGACACCAACGAAGACAAGTAGCCCAAGTGACCTAGTCTCTCAGACTGCCTCTGTTGTAGTTTCCTCAACAATCTGTATCCAGAGCAACCTCAAAGTGGCTAAGACGGTCCAGGCTCACACACTATCCAGTCATGCACTTTCCCATCACACAGAGACTGGACACGACACCAAATGACACAGCCAGCTCTTTCAGGACTTGACCATTATCCCAATGCTCTCAGGGTCCCCTAACGATGCCATCGCCCACTCCCTACACCCGACAACAGGAAGTATAGTATTATGTTGATTTTGAATTTTTTGAATGCTGACAAGAAAACAACTGCTGCTGAGAGACATGAGATTAGAAGAGAGACTGATAAAATATACCAACCTAAATATTTTTAAAGATGCCTTAACTTTATAACAGAAGTCAAAAAATAAATTTGTAAAATGGACTTAAAAGATGTATTGCTTTGGAGAAGTGGTTTTGCTTTTGTTTCCACAGGAAACAAGAGGCTATGGATTCTTTCCAGGTTAAGATGAACCAGATTTGATCAAAGGAGACCTCCTGAATTGATATTTATCAACAAAGGTTATACTTGTCTTCCCAGGACTTGGCATTTATCTCAAATTTTCTCAGGGGTTCTTTTTTTTTTTAAAGATTTATTTATTCATGTTCTTTATGAATGTGCATTTTATGAATGTCTTCATGCACACCAGAAGAGGGAATCTGATCCCATTACAGATGGTTATGAACCACCATGTGGTTGCTGGGAATTGAACTCATGAATTCTGGAAGAGCAGTCAAGTGCTCTTAACTACTGAGCCATCTTTCCAGCCCCTTCTCAGGGGTTCTTAAAGATACTTTGTTCACAGACATCAGGAAGCAGTTTGGAGAAGATAATGTCCACATTCCCAGGAGTTTGGGGGTATGGATCATCTTTGGGTATTTGGTGGGTTATGTATGTTTGTTGTATTTAGGGGAATATAGAAATATAGGATAAAAAGACAACTATTAATCTCAGATATTTTGCATTGGCATGCATTTTGTTATAGTGATAAATTTAAAGTTAATTTTGTTACACTGTGTATATGTTTCTATTCTTATTTAAAGGATTTTTGCATGTTGATATAAATTTAGGTCATTTTTGCTATACAATATGTAATTTCTACTCTTGTCTAAGAGATTGTGCTATTCATCTCATTTAAAATGTAATGTATAGTTAAATACAAATTAACAGTCATCTATAATTGTCAAACTTACAGTCATGTTAGTTAGGTTTTCTAGATATGCAGAGATATATTTTAGATGGATAGGTAATCTTCAAACATTTCAAAGACTTACAGAATATGGCATTTAAAATGTTCTAAGAACTTAGATTTTTTCTTGAAAGTGAAACATGTCTGCTCCTGGAAGCACCAATTACTTCAATAGGATGTTGGGCATTGAAGAAACTCCTTATGGGCCTGGCGTTGGTGGCACACACCTTTAATCCCAGCACTTGGGAGGCAGAGGCAGATGGATCTCTGTGAGTTTGAGACCAGCCTGGTCTACCAAGTGAGCTTCAGGACAGCCTCCAAAACAATACAGAGAAACCCTGTCTCGAAAAACCAAAAAGAAGAAAGAAAGAAAGAAGGAAAGAAAGAAAGAAAGAAAGAAAGAAAGAAAGAAAGAAAGAAACTCCTTATGGAGTTTGCTTTCAATGTGGCAAGGCTAGCCATTTAGGCAAGAAACTGCTCTTGCCTGGACAGCTTGGCAATATGATGTATGAACTGGATATGAAGAACCCACAGAAAAATGACTGCTGAACTTGCTAAAACAAGTTCATGCTTCATGAAAGAGTCTGTCAGCCATTATGCAGGACACAAAAGAAAGCAACTAACAAATTTTGCCAAAACAGGTAGGACAGTCTTTCAAATTTCCTGCCTCACTAAGAAGTCTGCCAGATACTTTAGGCCTATAGGTTGAAGATGGATGCCCCAACATTACAGAAGAACTTCGGGTGACTGTCTAGGCAGCCAGATATGTCTGTCATTTCTAGAGTTTTGGAAGTTCTATAATATACTTCCTGTTAACTTAGGAAATATTATATCCTTGTGGGGGTCTTTGATGGAGTTGAAACTAGATCATTATAATTATAGTTTTCCTTGGTTATGATAAAAGATAAATTAGATATAACACTTTAGACTAATAAAGATAGGGTAGATGATAGAGTATTTTCTTTAATTTTGCCAAATACAAACAAATACTATAACTCTAGTTCTTTTATTATATGTTTTATTATATGTAATTTTACAATGTTAAAGTTAAAACCTTCCATTTTAATAAATCAGAAAAGGGAAATGATGTGGGATGTCCTTTTATACAATGAAAATATCTATTGCTTTTATTTGTTGATGAATAAAGCTGTTTTGGTCTATGGTAGGGTAGAATATTCAAGTAGAGATACAGGGAGAAGGGAGGTAGAGTCAAGGAGATGCCAGCAGCCGCCCAAGGAACAACATGCCAGAGCACTGCTAGTAAGTAAGCCACAGTCCGTGTGGCAATACACAGATTAATAAAGATGGGTTAATTTAATCGAAAAAGCTAGCTAGTAATCAGCCTGAGCCATCAGTCAAACCATTATATTTAACATCAAGTCTCCAAGTGATTATCAAACAATTATAATTAATATTGAGCCTCTGAGTGATTATTTTATATGCAGCTGTGGGGTTGGAGGGCAGGACAGAGAAATGTTCAGCTATACCCCTTTATGATCTTTCTTTTCTAGACTTATCATACTACCAAAATATCTCTGAAGTAAGTAAAAAGGTTTTTTGTTTTGTTTTGTTTTTGTTTTTGTTTTTAGTGTCACTGTATCGACTCATTTCCAACTAAGGAACAGAACAATACACAAAACTGGCAAAGCCCTCTGTGAACTAGCCAATCCTTCCTCTTCACACTTTACCATGAACCTCTACACCTCTGGACCTGTGGCTTTGTACAGGCTGAGATGTCTAGTTTGGGTATCCTGCTCCACAATTTTCTTCCATCCTCCTACCTTTACCTCACCTTCTAAAGAGCCAGGCCCAGTTACAGCATCCGGCTAGGGCTTCACAAGGAGTAGATGTTCAACAAGTGTTTATTATATGACCAGAGAAAGGACAGATGGGTGTACTGAGTCACGGAATGACTGTATGTGGCAGCTGTCCTGTGAAACAGCTTTGCATTTTCAAACTTCACAGGCATGTCATACTGTCATATGATAGATAACACACTGTTACATGATATATGATGTACCATACTGTTATATGATAGCTACTTGTCTACATATCCATCTCTGCAACTGGGAGCTAGTTAGGTGAGCCTTGGCTTCAAGCTCACTCTGAATGCTCAGCTCCAGCCAGTGCCTGATACACAGTAGACAATATCTAGAGGATAGAGGGAAAAACTGTAGCAAACAGGATACCCAATATTCATGAGCCACCTAAGGCTACATAGCGAGATCTTGTCGAAGAGAGTGGGGAGAGAAGTGCCCTTATGAACATGCTGCCACTGAAGAATTATTCTGAAAAGCTAATGAAAGCCGGGGACCATCTTCTCCCCCAAATTAACGGGTTTGTAGAATTTTGCATGGATTGTTGGTTTAGGAATTTCAGTTAAGAGAGTGTTTCTCTAGCTGAGCATGGTGGCATACGCCTGTATTCCCAGCTCTATGGAGGCAGAGGCAGGGCCAGCCTGAGATGCATAGTGAGTTCCAGGTCAGCCTGGGTGTATAGAGTGAGAAGATGTCACAAACAAGCAAGCAAACAAACAAACAAACAAGAACCAGAAGCTATTTCTAAGCTGGCTTATACCTGGAACTCAGGATCTGCAAAGCAGAGTCAGGAAAACTGTAAATTGGAGTCTAGCTGGAGAAAAAAAAAAAAAAAACAGAACACCTCGCTGGGCGTTGGTGGCGCATACCTTGAATCCCAGCACTCGGGAGGCAGAGGCAGAAGGACCTCTGTGAGTTCGAGGTCAGCCTGGTCTACAGAGCTAGTTCCAGGGCACCCTCCAAAACAATACAGAGAAACCCTGTCTCGAATAACCAAAAAAAAAATCAAAACAATACAAAAAAACCACCTCACTAAACTAGATGGTATGGTACATGCCTTATAACCTCAGCACTTGGCTGAGACAGGAGACCCATTCCTTTGAGGTCAACCTAGGTTGTACCGTGAGACTCAAAAAAATCCAAATGGGATAGGAGTGGTAGTACACGTCTCTAATCCCAGTACCAGGGAAGCAGATGCAGATGGATCTCTGAATTTGAGACTGGTCTAGGGAGCAAGTTTCAGGCCAGTCAGACATACACAGTGAGACTCTGCTTCAAAACAAAACAGATCATCCAAAAAAGCCAAAAGGAATCTGAAAGAAAGGGGTTGTGGAGGAAGAGAAACAGAGAAAGTGAGAAACAAGATAGAGTTTCTGTGGTTGGTACCCTGACTAGTGTCTATACTGAACTACACTCATATTCTCAGGGCCCTCACAATTCCATGCCACTATAGCATTTTAACATAGAGTCAGTTTCTTACATCCAATTCAAAAATGAGCAAGAGTCTGAATTTCTCCAAAGGAAACATATCACTTACTAGTCGTTAGGAAAACACAAATTCAAACAACGGGGAGCTACCATGCCACACCCCACAGGATGGCTAAGATGGGAAAAACAAAGAGATGTCACCAAGTATTGAGGACAGGGATAAGCTAGAATCCTGCACATTCTGTCCAGGATGTAAGATTACAGTATAGCCACTTTGGAAAACAGCTTAGCAATGTATCCAAATGATAAACACAGAGTTATTATGTGAAAGAAAATTTCACTTCTAGGTATATGCCCAATAGAAATGAAGCATATGTTTACACAGAAACTTGTACAATATTTCAGATAAGAGAACATAATAGTCCAAAATAGAAGTAATCTGCCCATCAATTGATGAGCAATCACGACATAGCTGTTATTCAACAAAAGGGAATAAAGTCCCCATGGATAGGAAGACATGGCCAGTCCTTGATACCACCACACTTCAGGACCCCATGCAGGATGCCATTGGAATGAGATGGCCCAAATATGTAGAAGGCAAACTGATGGTTATTTGGGAGATAAAGGTGGTTTGTAGGGATGGCCACTGGTGAGCTCAGTTCACCTACTGAACAGGCATTCATTGAGAACCCGCTCCATACCAGGCCCTAGGCTAAACATCCAAGACACAGTGACTAATAACCTCAGTGCCGGGCTGGCAAGATGACTCAGTGTGTAAAAGCACTTGCTGCCAACCCTGATGACTAATCATTGATCCCCAGGCCCCATGTGGTGGGAGGAGACTGACTCTAGAAAATTGTCATCTGATCTCCAACAGGCTGTGCCTCCCCCCAGTAGATAAATGTAACAAAACTATAAATAAATAGATAGATAAATTCAGGTCCTGTGTTGATGTAATTTAAATGTTGGAGAGGAAAACATAACATTGCTACATAGATGATTACCAGTATGGTAAGCTCTGCTTAGATCCAGTTGACAGCTGTCACCTGCATCTATAATAGTCCTAACAGCAGGCCTGACGGCTGAAGCTAACCACGAAGAACCTCTTCCTTGGAATCAGATCAGGAGGTCAGGCTAATGACCAGTGTGGACTTGCCAATACCAAAGGGAATTAATGCTACGTGGCTTCTCGACTTCCCAGGAGGGCCTTCTCATGGCTGAACAACACAAGATAAACAACCCCAAGAACAAACATAGAGTCATGCACAAACCACAAGTGGTCTCACTCAGTCTCTTTCTCTACACTAACCTGTGCTCTCTGGCACCCCGTACAACCACAACCACAAGTACACTTTCAGTCTCACACCCCCAAAATTATATAAACACTTCACATAAACAAATACACACTGGCCACCATACCCAACTGGCTTCTGCACTCTTCACTCTCTGGCGTGCTGGTGGTGGGCTGTCTTTCTGCATCTTTTCCTTCTTCTTGCTTCTGTAGAAAGAAAGCCTGATTCCAGCTTCCTGTCCTCACGTGTTGGGATGTAAGTTAAGCCTCTGGTCCCCAGTCCCTGCCTGGCAATCTGGTCCAAAGCTATGCTTGAAATTGGAAGAGTTCCTCTAGGGTCTGTGCAAGAGCTCTGCTCCTGGAGTCAATCTATTGCTTGGATCCGTACCGCTGGGGGGTACAGATTTGTGTGAGCACACGGACCCTTATCATACAGCCTGACTTCACTTCTCATCCCCAGGTGGGGAAACTGAGTACATGAACGTCTGCTCTGTGCTGATTTTATCTGCATCTCCAGCTTCAGCCTGTGTCTCCTGACCTCTTATCTAGGTACAGGACTCCAGGGATTTTGTTTTCCACTGCCACACATCCAGTCCCCTTGTGTGTGTTGTAACCCTATCTTGGATTGACAAGATTACGAAATGGGGCTCCCGCTTGGCATATCTCTCCCCGTGTCCCTCTTTTTTACCATGGCTTCTGACTCTGATTCCTCTGATGGACTCTGGTACTCCTTATGTTTCCTCTTCTTCATGGGTTTTAGGAGCTCAGAAGCGATGGTACAGGCTGAATTCTTTACTATGACTGATCTAAAAGAGAACCACTCTCATTAGAGGAAAAACTAAAACAAAACTACCCCCCATACATTCTACAGCACCCACTGTATTCACATGCTCATAAGCCCAGAGTCAGTAAAACATAATGGATGAAAATGGGGCAAGAGAGGCTGTAATCCCTCGTTTTTACCGCTTCTGGAAAGGTGGAGGGCAGTGGTCTCCCGAAGAACCAAGGTCTGGTGCAGTGCCTTGTTGAGGCCCAAAAGTCTGGCACTCTCTAGAGCTCGTGTCTTCTGGGGGTTCCTGAGAGGTGACTTCTTGAGGGTTCCGGTGGACATCTGTGGGAGTCCCTGGACCTTAGTCTTCTTTCTCATCCCTGGACAGTCACGGTCAGGCTCCGCCCACATCCCTACACCCCACTGAACAGCACCCCTTCAGCTCTTTCTACTTAGGGCTGTATCTGGTTACATTCCCATCCAAGAGTCACCAGGGAGCTCAAGCATCACCCACCCACATCATCCACCCTCGGGGAGCAGGTTCTTACCGGGGTTCTGGGTGCCCATACTGCCTCCGATAGGGCCACCTTCATGTCCAACCAGGACTTCTCGCTGCCGTTCCGGGCTTGGTGGTCGCTCTACTCCCATCATATTCAGGGGCATGTACTCGCTTATCCGAAACTAGAGATGCAGAATTCTGAGGACTGTGACTGCTACATCAGCTTTCCACCCACCTTGGGTCACCCACACTTTTTTTTTGCTCTGCCAGCTAACCCTTCAGGTCTACAAACTCCGCCCACTCCTCCCAACCACGCCCCCACCTACGGTGCCAGTCCCAGACTGACACTAAACCACCAGCCTCAGCATTTCCGTCTTAAGTCCCGCCTTCAAGCCCACCCCACAGCTGCCAATCCTCAAGGGCACTAACCCGTAGGCCACTCCCAGTTGAAGGTGTGGGAACCCCTGTCCAATCCAGAAGCCTGACTGTGCTATTGGTCCCTGGCCCCGTGCTTAGCTGTGGCACAATGGTGGTAGAAATTGGTTCGCTGCTCGTCACCCGCTCCAGGGCGCCCACATGGACTTGCTCCCGGGGATAGGGCACATCCAGGCCAGTGCTGGGCAGACCAAGGGTGGCGGCATTGGCTAGAAACAGATACACGACAAGACAGGGCACAGGTGAGCCCTGTGACACTTGTCACCCATATGTATCCAGTTGAAAAGCAAGTAAAGTGAAAAGTGGCTGATGTGAAGGCGCACGCCTTTAATCCCTGCACAGGAGGCAGAGACAGGTGGACCTCTGAGCTTGAGGCCAGCCTGGCTTACAAAGCAAATTCCAGGGCAGCTAGGGCTACACAGAGAAACCCTGTCTCAAACAAAATGAAACAAACACAGCAAAGAGAGTGAAAGGTGTCACCCTAGCCACACCCACACTCTCTTGAGCAGGTATGGAATCTTCAGGCCTCTGACCTTGACTTACTAGGAATAATAAAGGCAGTTGCAGGTAGGTGAGGACGTAAGCCTATGCTGTCTCTGGCCAGCAGGTGCACACTGACCTCCCCTGACGAAGACCCCTTCGGTGTCCTTAGTATCTCCATTTCCGGGAGCCCCTCCATCCGCATGAGTCTACAAATTAAACACAGCCACCAGGATGATGATGGGGGAGGGAAGGAGTTTGTTGGAGGAGAAACTGGTCACCTTCAAGTCAGTAGCTTCCTGAGAAAGGTCTCATCTCTGTGAGAAGTAGGGTGACTTTTGTTTTATAAGACAAGGTTTCTCTGTGTAACAGCCAGAAGTAGGGTGTTTTGTTGAACACCAACTTAAGATCTGACTACTGGCCTTTACTTAGGTTATTGATGGAACTCTGGCCAGGCCCTGCATCCTCCCCTGCCCATTATTTGTGAGGATGGGCATAATGACATGTGTGAGAGTACCATGCACACTGTGTGTACAGAAATGGCTTATAGGAAGCATGATTCAGGCTAAAGGTCCTGTTTTGGCCAGTGACAAAGCCAAGCTAAGTTGGAATCACTTCTTCCTTGATCCCCTGTTTCCATTTCCTTTCTTTGAGCACTCAGGGTCTTCAGAAACCACATTCAACTCTATCCAAACAGGGTTGGTCCTCGAGGAAGGTGATATCTTCCCAATCTTGTTGTCTTGTGTTCCCCTGTGCACCACCCACCCAACCGCAGACATAGCCTTGGCTGAACAAATGCACATACCTGAATGGCAAAAGACAGCTTATGAAAACCCAGTCAGCACAAGGTCCAGAAGCTGGGGGTATAGCTTATTGGCAAAGCACTTGGCTAGCATGCGTGAATCCTGTGTTCACATCCAGCAGAGGGGTAAGGGGATAGAAAAGAGAGGAGAGGAGAGAAGAGGAGAGGAGAGGAGATCCACCTGCCTCTGCCTCCTGAGTGCTGGGATTAAAGGTGTGAGCCACCACTGCCTGGCAAGCCTGTTTTCTGAACCGTAAAATAAGATAAAGGTGGTAATGGCACCTACCTGAAGGGGCTTTGGTGAATGTTGGCTGTGAAGTATCGATACCAGCAGGGCTTCAACAAATAGCAATCCTCTCCCTTTAGACAGAAACGCCAGGGAGTTTGACAGCTTCTAGCCAATACCATGGACACTGCCTACTTGTAAAATCAGGTTGCAATGGGTGTGGTCTTGTGCCCACCCTCCCTCTCTTTCTTGCTGTTCCTGTGTTCATTTATTTCCAAGTGTCTCCTCTCTAAAATGGAATATATTACAGTTGTCTATCATTATAAGTATAAAGCTACGGTATAAACAGGTAAGTAGATAAGGTCAGATATGTGACCTGATTAATTAAAGCATTCAAACCAAACAAGATGAGTTTTTAAAATTTGAGTTTATAAAAATCCAGAATCTCCAAATTTCAATTCCAATTTATTTTGCTTTTCACAGCTTGTGTTTATACTACTTAGAAATATTTACTTTTATTTTATGTGTACAGTTGCTTTTGCTGGAATGGATGCCTGAGCACCATGTGCATGCAGTACCTGCTGAGGCCAGAAGAGGGCTTTTGATCCTCCTGAAACTGGAGTTCCAGATGGTTGTCAGACACAGTGTGGGTGCTGGGAACTGAACCTGGGTCTTCTGCAAGAGCAACAAGTGCTCTTAACCCTGAGCCATCTCTCTCTGCCTTTGTACCACTTTTAATTATTTTAAATAGAATAAATCTTTTATTTAAAATACCGATGAACATACAGAGTGGCTGCTTATTCAAAGAGTCGTGTGGCAGGTGTCACAGAGAAGTAGCTGAAGATGACCTTTCTGATGGGGGCTTGACGTCTGCTCTCAGCAAGTCCTGGAGAACCAACGAAGTGCCAGCACTGTTCTATGCTCTGGGGACATAGGTGCTACCAAGACAAAGGACTCTCATGAGGCTTATCTTTTAAAGGATGAGGTTGGAACTGGAGATATTCGGAAGTTATTGACTACAGATAGTATTTAAGATATAGAAGGGGCTTCAGAGGAAAGAGTGGAGCCTTGGAGCACCATAACAATTACAGGTTGGGGGGGCAAAGGAGATCCAGTGCCAGTGTGAGAACGCCTGCAGTGAGACGGGAGGGGAGTCAGATGAGACCCCCTTCTGGAGGCTAGTGGAGACAATTGTCAGCCATCAGCCTCAGGTTCCGCGGAATTAGCCAGGGGAACTCTCGCTCAAATGTTCTCTCCGTTGATAGAGGGCTGTCAAAGTCCCACCCCTTTACCTTCATTCCAGGCGTCTACAGGGCCAGCTCAGGTTTAGGGCTTCCTGCTCCACAGGCTGGGGCCTCTGTTGAGACTACATCACCATTTCACCGTCTCTGTTCCATCTTGCTGGCTTCACAAGGCTACTCTCATAAACCTACACTTAAATCTGTTTCCAGGGAATCCTACTTAAAATGAGAGTAGTTCAATAAACAATTTTTCGAACGTGTTTGTGCTGCTGTCTCTTGCTGTCTGTCAAGCTTTCCACACACATTCCACCCAGAGCCTTTCGAGGCCTCGTATACAGCAGACATCCAATAAACGCCCCACTGGTAGGTGTTGGAGACAGGGGAGATAGTGCTGGAGGCACACAGAAAACTTGGCGGGGGGAGGCGGTCCCAGCTCGCCCTCGCCGAAGCTGCAACCTAGACTCTAGCGGGTGGAATGTGCTGTTGGAGTGTCCAAAGACGCCACCCGCCTCTCTAGACTAATGCAGACAGTCGCGGGCGGGGCGGTCACTGATCCATCCGCTCGCTCTGCTGAAGGGTTACTTTTTTTAAACGCCAAAATGGCGGAATTCGTTAGTCCCCCCCCCTTTATAGCCAATATTTTAAAAACCCTGTTTTTTGTTAAAAATATTGAAAATCATTGACAGCGGAAAGTTTGCTAAAATGGCCTGTGGAAACCTCAAACTCGCCCTCCACACACCCTCTCATTAATGGAAACTCTTAATTGATTTGCATCTCTTCGCAAGGCCGAGCGTCTGCCCTCGCCGCGGCTCTGGATGTAGATAGCAGTGCCGGTGGGCTCGGCTGCTCGCCCGGCATCCCGCAGCGCCCACAAGCAGCGCCCAGCCCTGGTTCTGCAGAGCCACCTCCCCAGTCCGCGGTCGGTGTGGTAGGAGCTGGGAAAGGACCTGGGGCGGGGCCCGCAGGACACTAGCTCTCGCCATGCCGTCCGGGACTGGGGTGTGACGTCCCCAGAGCACCCAGTCCGAGCCCAGAGACCCGTGCTTACCTGCAAGGCTAGCGGGTGCAGCGCGCGCCAAGTGACCGTGGGAATCTGGTGCGGCGCGCGCCTGCGCACACGGGGGGGCGGGCCCGTTCCCTGCAGAGTGCGCGCAGAGCTCCTTAGCCGCCAGGTTTGAGCGGCAGTGGACCCAGGTTGCCCCTTTGCTTTCTGTCGGAGTCCTGGGGATACAGGCTTAATTGCCTCTTCCCCACGAAACCCGCTAGCTTCTCGGGAGAATTGGGTGGAGATTCTTACAGTATTCTGGGAATCACAGAGCCGAGAGCAGCAGCCAGCCTGATGGACCTCCAGCTGAGTGGTCTACATCAGGCAAGGTGCATCCCCGCACACACCCGGGTCCCATCTTTGGAGAAGGGGATTTCAGGAGTTTTGGCAAACTCTCCTAGGATGGGTGAAGAGCACGCACAGCCAGAACAAGGAAACCTGGCACCACGCGGGGTCTGGCCTGGCATGAAGGACCCCAGCCATTTCAGCCTTTGGGTGACCCACTGCCGCTGGCTGATGATGTGTACCTCCTGCGCTTCCATTCAACAATGGAAGACGGTGTCATGCCATGCTCTAAGGTTCGACAATGTTTCCTGTTGTGTTGATCTGAGCAGGTCACTGGCTCCTCTTGTGCATTCCTTTCCCTAACTCACATGTCTCTACCAGACCTCTACTTTTTTATTGGTTCTTATTCTGGCACCACGGCTGTAACAACACAGAGAGTTGATAATTCAAGGGTTTAAGAGACCCTGTGCTCTAGAATGAACCAGTTCCTAGTAGAGTGGGTACTAATTAATGTCTTCTAATTGTTTTCTTCAGTGCACCACTTCCCTTACATTCTGGATTTTAATTTTTCCCCATATTTCTCAGAAAAGGAAACAGGTCTATTTGGCTCTTAGGTGGTAGCCATCAGCCAAATCTAAAGATTCCTAGTCCAGATGAAAAATAGTTAAATGGTAAGTTCTCCCAATCGCTGTGATCAAGTTTAAATTTATGCAGATTTTAGGTATTGTTTACATGTGTTCTGTCTGACCTCAAAGGTTTTAATCACATTTTGTGTTCTCAGGGACAAGATTAGTCAGAAAAAAGATGGATTGCCAGAATCATAAAAGCCTCTTTATACACACCAGCGCACAACAATCACTCCTTTTTCTTTTATCTCTATTCAGACTCTTCTTATTTAAGATTCCAAGATGGTTAAGTCTTAAAGTGGTAAATCTATTAGAACACATGGTTTCTCAATTACAAACCCATCTTTTAGTGATTCAAACAGATGCATGGAATCTGAGCAGGTGGGATCCAGAAACAGCTCATCTAGACCTCAGTTGCTATATTCTGCCTTAATATCTGTTGTTTATTCCAACACCTCCAGGGATGGAGAGCCCCTCCCAAACAGATGTGATGTGGGCAGCTCTGCCCCTATGCTGGTTATCCTGATGGCCCCAGCTTATTTTTAGGAGAGTGAGCACGTCCAATGCTTCCTTCACTTTCCACCTCTTCCCCAGAGTGGGTCCAGATGGTGTTGGCATAGAGAAGCATGGAGGAGACTGTTGTTAGGAAGCAGTCCATATTTCCTGTTTCATTAGAGTTGAAGTCACTGTTGTAGTAGTCCAAAGATCTCAGGATAGAAGGGTTTTGCTCTTCACATGTGAAACATTTCTGCTACTATAGATATGTCAGACTGTGCAAATCAGGAACCCTTCTAATAGACAGCCAAAAAGACTACATAAAAGTATTGCAAGAGGTGGCTCAGCGGTTTAGAGCGCTTGCTGCTCTTGCAGAGAACCCAGGTTTGATTCATGGCTCATAACATCTGTAACTCGTTTCAGAGGAGTGGCACCAAGAATGCAAATGGTGCACATGCACACACATACATACTACATACAGACATGCAAGCAAAACATTCATACACATAAATTAAAAATATTACCAGCAGCAACTAAACAGAAGGATGGGAAATAATCACTGAACTCATCAGGAGCACACAGGGACACGGCAACTCTGCCCTGACATCTCTCTTGTGAAGGTAGTTTTGGGGTAGGGCAAGACCCAAGAGTCTTGGGTTTTATCACTCACAGTGACAGCAGATGGGACATTAAGCCCTTGTGGTATTGTGGACTTGGAACTCTGTCCTTTCCTGTTAGTTTCTTGAAGGGTCCTAGGACACTGGCCTCATTCTTCCCAGGATGGCCACACTAAATTCTTTGCTGGGGACAGAACCTAAGGATCCATGCATGCTAGGCCAAACAACCAAACCACCAAAAAACCCAAGGTCTACATATCCCCAAACCTTCTTTTAGAAAAAAAAGTCATGAGATAGTCTAACGTAATCCTGTGTCAGCTTCCCAAGTAGCTGACACTATAAGCCCAATTTAGCCACTATTAGGATTAAGGTGACAGATCACCAAATTTCATCCTTGGGGAACAAGAACCTTTAGCAACTACCTCACAGGCCATTTGGGGTGGGGCTCAGAAAGTGTTTGTTTGGCTGCTCAGTGCTTAGTGAGACAAGTCATCAGAGGATGGAACCCCTAAGCTCACACCACACACACGGGGGTAAGTCCATCCTACCATTTAACAAGTATTGCGTGTATATGATGTACGGGTAGAGTGCCATAGCTCATGAACAGAGTACAACTTTTCCACCACTGGTTCCAAGGATCTACTTTTTTTTTTTTTTTTCTGAGACGGGGTTTCTCTGGAGGCTCTTTTCTCTGTGACTTTGGAGGCTGTCCTGGAACTAGCTCTTGTAGACCAGGCTGGGCTCGAACTCAGAGATCCACCTGCCTCTGCCTCCCGAGTGCTAGGATTAAAGGCGTGCACCACCAACACCCAGCTTGTGTGGCAAAGCTTTTCCCTGGTGAGTCATCTCCCTGGGTCTACCCTCTTGGCAGTCATACTGAAGCCAGAAAAGTAAATGATTCACTTGTACACATAAAGGTACTCTTCCAAAGAGACCAAACACCAGTCATGGGATCAACCTGCCCATTTAACCATCAGTAGACCTGTTAAGTAGGGAGAACCATACCAAACTGACTTGAGCTACCAAAGGCACATTCATGTAGTCCTAGTGACTGAGGCAAGATTTCTTGAGCCCAGTCCAGGGTTTGTGCCTGGGCATCATAACAAGGTACCATACCTTTTCTATGTAAGGGTGTTCTGCCTGCATGTTTTGTCTGTTTCTTGAGTGTGCCTGGATCCCTGGGATGGGCGTTACCATGTAGTGCTGGGACTTGAACCTGGGTCCTCCAGAAAGGCAGCCAGGGCTTTTAACCACTGACTCATCTCTCCAGCCCTTAGATTGCTTTCTTTGTAACTATTAAGCCAGAGGGACATTCCCTATCCTGCTGAGACTGGTTTGTTTTGGAAATTTTGCTTTCACCTGATTTCTTGGAAAGTCAGCCAAATAGCTTAATTTGGGTTGGTAACAGAACTTTTTACCAGGAATAAGTCCTCCACTGTGGTTTATTGTGATGTTCACACATTCTGTGTTTTGTGTGTGCATGCACATGCTTACATGTCTAGAAGACAACTTGCAGTTCTTTGATCATTGGGGGTCCTGAGGACTGAACTAGGTTGTGTCAGGTTTGGTGAAAAATGCTTTTACCTGTTCAGCCATGGCTTGTACACCCATTTTGGTCTATTCTTTTAGTGTCTACTGCTAGAGCTCAATCCACAATGGCCTCCTGTAAGCTTTCACATAGGAAGGGAAGCTCACAATTAACTGAGCCCACTCTCAGATTGCAGAAGCTGCACCACCTCTTTTGAACCCACAGGCTGTGGAAGCCTGAGTCTATGTAGCCTTTCTTAGTGCAGGATCCCTGAAAGAATAGGGGACCAAAGAAAGTGATGTATGAGGCCCTTTATAGGCTTCGGTCCTTTAAAATTGTATCACAAGGTTCCAGATACTCTAGATAGGTAATCCAGCTGAGCAGACTCAAGCAGACATAGGACAAGGTGATAGTAGAGCTTGTCCATCCAGCACTGCAATCTCAAGCCCCAATGCTAAAGCCCCCCACCCCCTTACTTGGTATGAGGTCATAAGCATTCTGAGTTCATTTACCTTTCCAATGGTAACTGGCAAGCACCTGGTACAAAATAGGTGCTCAAGAAAATTAATTTTTGATTTTTATCTTGCCCAGAAAAAATGGAATATGACTTTCCTTTTTCCTCCCCATACGTACCTTGCTTGCACATGTAAGTATGGGCATGTGACCTGCACCTAGCTGGCTAGTTCAAATGAAGGCACAGTCCAATGAAATAAAGGCCTAGTTTAGGAACTCTGGTGTTTTTCTTTAACACTCGTTGAAACAACTGGTTAGCTGATCAATCTACAACTCCGAGTTGGGCATTGCATCCACTTAAGCCTTAGGCAAGGGTTCCAACACTCAGCTGTACCAAGTTTGCTTGCTCTTCCTGCCTTTAAAGAAGTACAGTAGTCATCAAATGGTAACTTAGGGTGGAGGAAAGGAAATGATGTACTGAGGGAACCCTCCAGTTCCTTAATCAGAATACCACTGAGGCCAGGAGACGGCAGTGGCTAAAAGCACTTGCTGCCAATTCTTGAGTCCAATTCCCAGGACCCACATGACAGCAGAGGACTCCTGAAAGCTGTCATCTGACATCCACATACATAATAATAATGTAAGAAGACCATTATGAGTTGGGAATATAGTGGTAGTATACCTGCCTGGGAAGCATCAAGTCCCAGCAACTTTGCTTCCTAACACTGCAGAATGCAATAGAACACCTGTTTGGAATGTGATCAACACAGACCCAAGAGATTGTTATTACATAGCAATTTCCTGAAAATCTGGTGTGACTCCATTTTCTCAAGCTTTTTGCAGGCAGGCACAGAACCTAGGGCCTTGTATGTACTTCGTCAACACGACAGCTGTTCGCACTCCTGGCCTATGACTCAACTATACTGAAATTATAGGCAGGTACCACAATACTCAGTTCCTTGGAAGGCTCTGGGTAGCAAGGCCAATGGAACTTGAGGAAGTGACTTGAGCATGTGGTGATGGTCTGTGATGGCAGTTGTGGTTTAGAGTGTAGGGTTATCAAACCCACAGCTTCACACATGCTAGAAAAGTGCTAACAAGTACACCCCAGGTGTATTAAGGTAATCATTTTGTTGCAGGAACTCAGCACTGAGTGTATCTGTAACTACCACAAACTACAAACAATAAGGATAAATATGCCTTTTATGGTTCTAGAATTAGACATCATTTACTTTAGAAACCAAGTGCTCTAATGGACTGAGCAGAATTAGCTTCACAGGCAGAGTTGTTGAAGGAACAGAACAAGATGGGGTCCTTCAATGTTCCTTTCCTCATTAAAGGCCAATGCAGAAGGGCTTCCCTTTCAGGTCAGATAGGACTGGCCTAAATGAGGCTCTACCTATTGCCTTTCTCATTTCTTGGGAGGCCAGATAAACAACTTCACTTTATGTATGACTTCAGCATGAATGATTCCACTCTGCTGTGCTGGGCCTGGCATGAGCAGCTGAAACAGACACCCCTCTCAAAATTTCACATGAGAACCACTTGAGAGCTTATTAGGACATTTAAGGCTGGATTTAAGCAGCTGGGTCAGTGTGTCCAGGGTGGGCCCTGAGAGGATCAAATTTCAAACAAGCCCCCAGCTGCTAGATTAGGTAAACAACTTTGAAAACCATCTAAAACCTATCCATTTACAGCAAGTGCAAGGAACAGATTATACTTAACTAGAGCAAACCCAAGATTGGGAAAATACATAATATAATGACTCAGCTTCTTCAATCAATATGGAGCAATGGAAAAATACACATTTAGAAACCCAGTCCCCTTTTGGGATAGTCTTATCTATGCAGCCTAGGTGGACCCTGATCTCATGTGGGATACAGGCTTTTGCCACATTTGGTATCATTTAGAGATTTGAGAAGCCCTCTATAATTATGTATTCTATTACCACCATTATTAAATGCCTAGGAGTTACCTTCAAAATTGGAAGCGCACAGGCATATACTGTTAAAGCTTAAGTGGGCGGTGGTTCATCCCATTTTGGGGGGGGGGATTTGAGACAGGAGTTCTTGATTTGTAGATCAAGCTGGCCTCAAACTGAGATCTGCCTGCTCTGCCTCCCAAGTGCTGGGATTAAAGGCATAGGCCACCACTGCCTGGCTCATTCCACTTTTTTTTGTTTTTTCTAGACAGGGTTTTTCTGTATTGTTTTAGAGGCTGTCCTGGAACTAGCTCTGTAGACCAGTCTAGCCTCGAACTCACAGAGATCCACCTGCCTCTGCCTCCCCAGTGCTGGAATTAAAGGCGTGCGCCACCAACGCCCGGCTCATTCCACGTTTTTACTGGCATTTTACATTCACTATAAAAGTAACAGCAATAGTCAAGTGTCATGGCACATGCCTGTAATCTCACCTATCAGACTGAGGCAAGACTATTAGGTTGAGTTTGAGGCCACATAGGTCAGAGTGACTATCTCAAAACATGAATACAATGCATACTTAGTACACACAAAAAAATGGACTTTGGGTTTGGTGCATTTACCAACTCTACTTTGTATACTCATACCTCCCTCCAAAGCCTCCTGCAGATTCTCATTTCCTAAATAATGGCCTAATGGTTACTATATATAGTAACCTAAAGTGGTTGGAAGGTTTTGTTAGCTGAGGGCTAGTGTACTGGAACCAGTACCCTGGGATATTCAAAGACTAGTAATGTATGTATGATCACCCATGCTGTTAAGAAGCATCTCCAAAGGAGTACACTACTAGCATGTCCCGCTTCTTCCAAGGAATTATATATAGTAGGTGGATTTTGCTGCATTATCTTTTGTTTACTTGTTTTTTTGGAACTGAAATTCCTTTCTGGTCAAACTAGTGTCAGTCATTTTATTAAATGCTGCAATAGAAGCATGTGAATTACTGTTACAACTCAGGTCTACCTACAAAGGCTATTTAATATTTAAGATCTGGAAGACAACTATATTAACTGGCACATTTGTTGTGGTTAGGATTTTATAAATATACTTCTTATTCAAGATATAGTCACTGAAAATATTACACATTACTCATGGTATGATCAAACTTAAAAACAAAAGACAGGGCTGGAGAGATGGTTCAGAGGTTAAGAGCACTGAATGTCCTTCCAGAGGTCCTGAGTTCAATTCCCAGCAACCACATGGTGGCTCACAACCATCTATAATGAGGCCTGATGCCTTCTCCTGGGGTACATGCATGTGCATATATAAAAAACTGTATGCATAATAAATAATTAAAAAAAAACAAAAGACAAATGTGCTGTGGTGGCTCATGCCTATTAATGCCAGCAAGCACTCAAGAATCTGAGATGGTAGGATTGCCGAATTGGAGACCAGTACTAAATGCTTTGTGTTAAGAAAAAGAAGACAAAACCATATACAAGTACATGCCATTGACACTGCCTCAAAATAACTCCAAAGCCATCCTTATAGTTTGAGACCAGCCTAAGATATAAAATTATTTTATACTCCTAGAATTTTTTCTTTTTCAGATAAGCTATCTTTCTAATTATCACTGGCTGGCCTCAAATTCAAAGCAATCTTCCTGCCTTAGCATCCCATACTAAGATTAAGGGAGTATACCACATTACAATCAGACCCTATTATTAGTTTGTAATATATATGAGGGAGTTACATGCACAGTGAGTACTGAATTCAGGGCACAGCACATACTAAAACTATACTCGAAACCCTGATTATTCTTAGAAAAGCAAGATGAAACTCCACACTAGGTTCCACTATTGTGTTTCTGAAATCAGACCAACCATGAGTGAAGCTTTTGAGAACAAAATTAAGCAATAGGAATGCAATAGTATTGAAGGCTTAACTTGCAAAGCCTAGAGTGCCCAGTATTAAGGACATATGCTAATGATTTGCAAGGTATTTAAAACTTCCTAATTTGAGAAGCTGTGTTGAAAAATATCAATCATAAGGTAAAAACGGACCAGAATACAGTAAATAAAGTTATTAGTAACATAAGACAAACCATCTATCACCAGTCCTCAAACCCTGCTTTCTAGAGCTTAAAAAAAAAAAAAAAAAAAGAACACACATCAATGGCTAGCCAATGGGGTAACTACAATTAAAAAAACTACTGAAACTTACTTGGTGCCAAGGGACAACACAATAAATTCAGAACAAGTCTTTCCCTTGGTAAGCATTTTATTGAGATAAAGCATAAAGTAGGTTAACAAAGTAGAAAAAAAATATCCAAGATGAAAGCAATGTTAACACAGGAGGAGTGGGAACATAAAGGCTGAAGTAGGCAGGACTCAAACTGGCCATAAAGGCACTGTGGCTTATCAAGAAATGCTGTCACGTCCAACAGGACTCACGATGTTCCCCACTTCTCTTGTGCTCTTTTATCAGTCGGTGCTGCCGACACTCCACCCAGGGCATCAACCAGTGTGTGCAAGATGGGATTCTTAGATTCTGCGCATTAGTTGGCAGGGAACTGAATTCACTAGTGAGTAAACAACTAAACATTTAAGTCAGTCAGTTCTGCTAAGACCAACTCTTTAAATGCAGTGATCTGTTTAGTACATTTAATATCTAGGGTCTACAGCTTTGAACCAGGCCTAGATAAAATGGCCTTTGCCCCTACTAGAAAAATTATATGGGTGTTGGCATTTATTAGGGCGGCCAAAAAGGTCAAATGCCTCTGTCATGTACTACATTAACAAGCCCAGCTGAAGATGCGTGCAGTCAGAAAGTCAAATTTCACTGATAGCCTTTCCTCTTTAAAATTAAAAGGCTGTGGCTCAGAAGCTTTTTTATATATTTCTCCCTGAAAATAAAGAACTTTGGTCAAACCCAATTCTTAAAGAGCCAACACTTTTGTCTTTGAACAGGCAAAACAGTAAACTACAACCAGAAACAATTTTCTTTTAACTTCGGAAATTTACACTGGAAAAATAAACCTATTTCTTATAAACATCTAAACAAAGCATCAAAGAAAAATGACTAAAGCAGCAGCTTTGACACTATATCCTGAAGTTAGTTTTTAAGATTTTGTAACAGAAATAAATTTCTTGAAAACATTCCTTTCCCTGTTCCCAAGTATTTCCAGCTACTGACACCTATCTAGGCCCTTGAATATCCATTTTTCCACTCAGCCTCATTTTATTGCATGTCTTCTGATTAGTCCCACACACCAACCCTTGCTAGGTTATGTAGCAACAGCTGAGGAAGGTATTAAACCTGAGCCAATTCATCTACACCTTGACTCAACACTGAGGTTAAGTATTTAGGATGAAATGACTTTAACATGTCTCAACAATGAAAAGGTTATAGTCTCAACGAACTGGGCTTCTGGATGAATGGAAACTGCGAATCCAGTTATTCCTACAAGTTTGCACTATTTAACTTTGTTTCCACAGTATTTATAATGCTTTACTTGTAAATACAAAGCATTTTAGTTTAGCCACATCACTGTTTTTTCAAACCAACCACAAATGCCCCACTAATACCATGGGGACTGATCGCTGGGAAGAATTTTAACCAGCAAGTATCTTACCAAATAGTCTAAGCACCTGTTAAATATAATCATCTTTCAAGCAGAAAATGCAGCATGTGCTTTTCCACTTTGAATAACTAAATTTCTAATCAAAGGAAGGCTACTTCTGTTTTTCAAACATTAACGACCACCAAACCATACACTAACACTAATCACGCTGACCATTTCCAGAACACAGGATAACAAGATCCCAAGTACTAGGACCTACTTCTTGAAGAGTTCAAATTGTAATCCTTTATTTAAAAACCTACATGACAAAATCTTGTTGACACTAACTACAAGTCCCTTTTACTTTTAACTCAACTTGTTAAAGGGGCAGATAAAAGACTTTGGTAGATTTGATTAACAGCACAAAATAAGGTTATCCAAACTGATTTATTGCTGTTGGTCTGAGGCTTGCCTTGTTTTACACTTCAGTGGAATTTACACTGTCTTCATAAATGTCAGGTATCAACACTTTCAGGACCCTATTAGTGACCTATTCAATAAGGCAATCATCTTGGTAGCAAACTTTTATTTAAATCTTACATAACTCGAGCTTTATAAAAAGCTAACATAATTGAAAATTTGGGTTCTCCCTCTAAAGCCTGCAGTATTCCAAAGCTTTGAAACAGTTAATTTAAAAATAAGCAAACAAAACAACAAAACTCAGCAGCAGATTCTGCTGCAATATTAAAAAAAAATCTAAATGAGCTTAATCTTTATAAAAGTTATTTTAGGCTCAAAGGCTATAAAATCAAAATTATCTTAATTCTACAAAGAAGGGAGAGGGCTTCATACCACCATTTTAAAACCTCATCTTTTTCTCATTAAATTTGGCCATAAATCAAATTCTTGTGTTCCCTTTTCAGGACATCCTCTTGAAGAAGAGGCCAAGTACAAACTTGGAAGAGTAACTGCCTAAGCAAGTAGGAAAGTGTTCCATTATAGTGTGCAAAGAACGTAGAGTTCAGGGTTAATCTCTGGAACTTGATCTGGACCTCGAACGAGATCTAGAATGGGACCTGGAAGCTCTTTTTGGCGGAGGGGACACAGAACGAGCCTTTGAAGGTGGAGCAGGCAGGGGTGAATGGGATCGAGACTGGCTCCGGGATCTGGATTTGGACTTTATATCTCCTTTTCCATTTTCTTTGGGGGACCGAGAACGTGACCTACTTCGGGACTTCCCATACTCATCCTTAGATCTGCTTCTTGAGTGTGAATGGGAACCCCGATCAGACTTGGGTTTAGATTTGCTCTTTGATCTGGACTTCCTGCCTTTTGAGCGGGATCGGGATCGACCTTTGCTCCGAGACCTAGATCTGTGTAAGAAAAGTCAGAATTCTTTCAGTATCTTGTCAGAAAGCACACGTATTCCACCAACAGGTAAAATTAAGAAAGACCCAATACCACATTATTTACCGGGAGCGACTTTTTGAGATACTTCGAGATCTACTGCGGCTGCTCCTGCGACTCCTACTCCGTGACCTTCTTCTGGACCGTGATCTACACACAAGAGACAGTGACATCTGAAATCTCTATAAAGAACGGTTTGCACCACTCAGCCATGGCTGAAGTATCCGCTTACCACAACCAAGAAACTCCACTTAAGTCCGATTAAGCAACAACTGAAAGCTATAAGCCATCCCAGTCCTTCATGTTACCTGGATCTACTTCCAGAGTAAGAGCGCCTATGGCTTGTTCGTGGCTTATCTTCAATAAGCCTAATATTTCTGCCATTTATTTCTGTGCCATCCAGTTTATCCAAAGCACGCTTCATGTCAGAGTAGGATCTAAATTCAATTACACCCTCATTTGTGCGTTCCTTATGAGCATCTGCATAAGTCACTTCTCCTGCTTGCCGCATGAAATCCTAAAATAATAAGACCTGTAAGTCCCAGGAACCTAGAGCATGTCTACATAGCACCGACTTTTAAGGAAATGACCACTCACTGTCATTTAACCCCCAGGTACATACCTTTAAGTCTTGCCAACTGCACCGACTAGACAGATTTTCTACAATAAGCCTGTACTCTGTACGAACAGGTGGTCCATATTTGTCTCTTCCAGAAGTTCTCCGACTGCTGTATCCACCTCCACCACCTTTGTCACATGGAGGGAGTAATTAGATGCATTGCAGTGACAGGGATGCATGCTTTTGAAAGTTAGTACAAACATAGCAACGTTTATTACTGGAGTAGGACTTTCTAGTATACTGCTAAACCCTTGATACATTTGTGATTTGCCACAAATTAAATTAAGGGCAAGTCAAATAGACTAAATCCAACTAACCCTCTCCTACAATCTGTTAGAGAGTGACTGCTCCTTTAGTCAATTTACCTCGCTAAGTTTTATTTTACAGAACATTGTAAAATATAAAACTTAACTGATTACATGCATTTCTACATTTTACAAAAATGTTTACTAGTTACACTAAGTACTTACATCACAGTGTGAGGTTTTTGGTGGTGGTTTGGCCACAAAACACGCAAGGTAACAGTCACCTAGTTCAGATTAACCAGTTTTGTCTAACCCTTGGAATCCTCACCATCACCCTGCGTCTAATGGCAAAAGGCTGCTGTCGTCATGGCTTCCGGTAAGGTCAGCCAAAGGGTCATAGGGCAAGGGTCACACAATGTATGGAAAAGCCAAGGCCAATCAGGAAAGGCAGTCATCTTAGCCTCAGTGGACACAGCCTCAGCCCCATTGGTCACTTTTAAATTGAAACATCAAGGACTTGTTAAAAAGTTTGAATTCAACATGCAACAATTTCAACATTAAACATTTCACATAACCAAAATCCCCCCCAACCCCCTCCCAGTAACATGCCCCAACTAGTTCAAATATAGCATAAAGCTTTTTAGATTTACTTTGTGGTATTCCGCCACATTACTTAGTTTTAAATGGCATTCTCTTTGGCCCTCGACAAGTCTCCCATCACATAAGACTTATACTCCAAGCTCCTCCCCTTTCCCCGCCCCCTGCCCCACCTCCACCCCACTTTTCCTGGAAACTTCCTCGACGCTAGCTAAAGCACTGACAGATAAGCAAGGGGGAATAGTACAAATACAGGCAACCCTCGCTTTCAACGTGGGCAGAGCCCACGTCAGTGCCAACGAGGGCCAACTGAAGCCACCCCTTCCAAACTTAGCCAGCCAGCCACCCGACCCAATCCCCGCGCTCCGGTGTCCTATGGCTACCCGAGCATGCGTGGAGGGAGAGGGGCCCGGGAACACCCAGGGCCAACGACCCCCGGCCTCCGCGCCTGCCCGGGTAGGGGAGGTCCCGCCCTGCCCCCGACCCCGTGACTGCACCCGCCGCCCGCTCCCGGTACCCAGGACGCGGAGCGCGCGGGGGGGTAGAACTCACTGCGGCTTCCGTAGCTGTAGCCATCGCGGTCGCGGCGCGGGCCCCGGGCGTGCTCTACGATCACGCGCTCGCCGCACAGTTCCTTGCTGTTTAGCTCGTAAACGGCGTCGTCGGCGTCGCGGGAGTCCTCGAACTCCACGAAACCGTACCTGCGGAGGGGCGGAGCGCGGGCCGCGCACCGGCGGGCGTGTCGTTAGCCGGCGCTGCGCGCTCCCGCGACCTCCCCCGCGCGCGCTCCAGGCGCCGCCGCCATTTTGGAGGCCCTGCCACGCGGCGCCGAGGCCTTGGTCGCCTCGGTCCTTGGGGGGCTCCCTCCGCCACCGGGGCGCGGACCCCCAGACCCGACTCACCCATTTTTGAGGTCGATCTCGAGGAGGCGGCCGTAGCCGCTGAAAAAGCGCTGGATGTCCTTCTCGCGGACGTTGTAGCTCAGGCGTCCTATGTAGACGCGCGGCATGGCCGTGGCGGGTGGGGTCCCGGAGGCTAGCTGAGGTGCGGCAGGCCGCGGGGCAGGGCTGCGGTGCGGGTGCGGGGACGGCGAAGGCCCGAACACGCGCCTCACACCGCAGCTGCGGCCGAGTCAGCCACACAATGGTGTGCGCGCGCGCCGGCCTACGCTATAAGCGTCCGGGGGCGGGGCGGGGCGCGGCGCGTGACGTCGGCGCGCAGCACGTCCTCTCCCGCGCCACGGTCGGCTCCTGAGGGCTTGGCGCTGCGGGACTCGGTGCGAGCGGGTCTCGCGACCGTAATGTCGCCCGGCGCTTGGCACCTGTCTCCGTACACAGACAGCCGGGGCCAGGCCCTTCGGCTGGTGCCTTTTCATAAACTGTTCAAGTGCCCAAGCACGCGGAGGACGGTCCCTGTTTCGCACTGGTTCTCAGGGCTGTCAGTCTAGTCCATCTTCGTCTCTGATTGGTTTGCCGAGAGACGAACTGCGCTGTCCCTTCAGCCGTTGGCTCGCGCTGGTTTCGGTGGGAACGTGCTCTTGGACTCCTAGTTTCTCTGTCGCCTCCAGATCTCTGGCCCGGCGGTGGTGGTGACCCGCGGGGAAGGTGCGGTGGCAAGTCTCGGTGACACCCTTCACTCTTCTCCGAATGCTGACGGCCCTGAATCCCGCGCTCACCGCGGTTGCTCACAAAGGGAGCGAGCGTGCCAGGGCCCCACGCACCAACAGGCGGGTGACCCCGGGGTTGAGTCAAACCTGGCGGTCCCCCAAGAACACCGAGCCCCGTCCCCACCCATACTGCCCTTAACCTGGTCGTCTGGGAAGGCACGGCGTTTATGTGGCAGAAATTCGCACTAGGAGTTTGTAGAGGTGACATCTAACGCCGTAGAGCTTGATTAACAAGACACCACCACCCACTCTTGAATTATCCAGTGCCTTGGGGGTACTCAGAAGTTTAGTTAAGGAACGGCTGGACACGTAAGGAAACTGAGAGCATAGGATGATGTGATGGAAGCTGGGAGAACAGGCTGTCAGTCACTCGCTACTTTTTAGGAATTTGTTTTTTGCTCTCGAAACAGGTCAGCCCCAGTCTTTTCAGCTAAGGTGGGAAGGAGCGATTTCTGTCCTCTAGGGGCAGGCAGGCAATGCTGATGGTTAATACTAGTACCTTAGTGGGGGGAGGTCGTCCTTAAAGTTAGAAATGTAAAAAATACTCATGGAAGCCGGGCGGTGGTGGCGCAAGCCTTTAATCCCAGCACTCGGGAGGCAGAGGCAGGCGGATCTCTGTGAGTTCGAGGCCGGGCAGGACCGACAGCCTCCAAAACAATACAGAGAAACCCTGTCTCGTAAAAATAAAACAAAACAAAAACCATGGAACGTAGTTAGAATGAATTCAACAAATAACATTTTTGTCTTTATCAAATTGTCAATTGCTAAAAATGTGTTAAAACGTATTATTTGTGGGCTGGTGAGATGACTGAGTAGGTAAAGGTGTTTGCTGCTAAGCCTGAAGACTTTCAAGAGATCCATACCGTAGGAGGAAAAAACCCCAACTCTTTCAAGTTGTCCTCTGACCTCCACGTGTGTCATGTTCCCAACAAATAACATGTTAGCACACCTAAATTCACTATTTGTAACAGCAAGTATATATACATATGTTTGGATTTCGCATGAGAAACAAGGTATTTGTCAATTCATTGTGTTACCATGTTTTGCTCCCTTCTTTTACTTTTGCTCCCCCACATAGTGCCCTGTCTATTTTCATCACACCCATCCACCCCACACCTAGTTTCTGAATATAAGAGAAAAGGCAATTTTTCAGTTAGATCAGCAGCACCATAGGAGGGAGTCTTGTTGCTGACCTAACTTAGTACTTTGGAAGAACAACGTAATGAAATGGCAAGTGTGCAGCAGGAGAATTATTTCTCTTTTAGTGGACTCGGGAGGGGAAAGGAGCTGAGCTAGGATTGTTTTGAGTTCTAGATCAGCCTTGGTTATAGTGAGACATTGTCTTAAAAATAACCAAGAAAGGAGAGGGTCAGTTGGGAAAGTACTAGTTGGAGCTTGAGAAGCTGAGTTTGATCCCCCTGATGAATGACCCCTGAAGTGACCCTCGGCAACCACACTTGATGCACATGTTCACGTGTGCACTCCTGTGTACACTTTTGCACACATGCACAAAATCAAAAATGACCAAATAAAAATTAGAGCTGGATGGAAACTCTTTACAGTGTTTCCTGTTTCTGCAGCCTTTGGACAACCAAGTTTGGACCAACAGAGCCTCTGTAATGATGAGAGCCAGTTCCTGCAGGTGTGCTCCCAGGCCCCCCCCCTTCACCCAATTGATTCTGTTACCATGCAGAATCCCAACCAACACAGTGCCCGAGTCTCCGTGTGGAATGGAGTAAATGTAGTGGGCTACTATGGACATACATTCCAGAACTGGAAGGTGTCCGTGAGAGCTGGGAAGAGTTATTAGTCAGGTAGGCTTCTGAAGCTTGTCTGCTGGGAGACTGGGTTAAGCATTGCTAAGCCAGTCCAAACCCTTGTTTGAAGACACGTGAGCCATGGCGTTACATCTTGAATCTCCTCTATGTTTCTTCTACCCAGAGTCCTTCTGGACTCCTAGTCCCTCCTATCTAGATTCCCTATTGGCCAGACAGTGCTTTATTGACAAATGCACAGGACTTCCCCAACAGGTGGCAGTGGCAGTAGGCATTCTGGCTTTATGCCAAGTTCAAACGTGCCTTGTTCCAGAGGCAAGAGATCTGTAACCAAGTATTGCTCAGCTTAGCCCATGGCAATCCTGGTAGCCATGAAGTCTGGTTACAGATGATTTAAGGATGAGGTTATTCGATGACGGGCAACCTGCGGGGAAGAGACCTCCCACCTAAGACAGGGGTTGCCAGGTCCCCCAAAGACGGGCCAGGGAGGGTGACCCTACTTGACCTAAGACAGGAGTGCCTCATCAGACAATAAAAAAGGGGAAATTGTGGGGACAACAGACCTTGGCTAGAGACCTACTTCCCCATCAACCTGGGACCAGGCAGCTGTAAGACAATGTTTAGTAAAAACATGTTTACTAAAAACAATACAATGCCCGGGGCAATAAGTTCCTGAAAAGGGCTTGCCCACAGAACGCCCTGACCTCGACCTTTTCCAAAGACTAACCACCTCTTTCTAGCCACCTACCGCCGCCTCTGGTGTCAGGGTATATAATAACCAGCCAGGGGAGGAATAAAAGAGAGCCTTCTTGAGGAGCCTTCTGGTCTTTGTGTCATCAATCCCGACACCCTCTGCACTTTCTCGGATACAGGCTGCGCAGTGGGCGCGGCACCTACCTTTCTGTGTTCCTGTGTTTAAGGTGGACCTACCACTCTGTGTTCCTGTGGTTAAGGATTTTCAATAAGATAGATGTCACTAGATAGGTTGCTGTGCCTAAGAGCAGATATATACTGAACTAGTTAAAGATTTGATATCTGGATATGCTTGGGACATTTAATGGTTATAACGTAAACATACAGTTTTTGTCATAATAAACACACATCTGGACCTACAGCACCCAAGCCCATACTTGGCACAATGCTTGTGTATGAACTTGTAAACAAACTGTCAGTGCTACATTGGAAAGCACAGGGGACCTGATAGACAAGTCTGTGAGTTGTTATAAGGCGGGTGAAAACACCAAAGAGGATGAGCTGCGGAGCAGACCTGAGCATCATGTCCTGAGGGTTAGATTCATTTCTGTATACAGTTTGTGTGCTGCTGGGGACCGAACCCAGGACTTTGTGCATACTGGGCAAGTGCTCTTCTGCCAAGTTCCATCTTCAGCCATCAACTCCTATGCACGTTTCTTAAGGCTACTGTAACAAACCATCAGCTATTCAGTGGCTTGAAGCATTACAAATTCATTGTCTTCAGTTACGGAGATCAGAAGTCTGCACCGGTTTCCTGGGCAAAAACAAAGGTGATGGTAAAACCTTGTCTTCTGGAGGCTCCAGGGGAGCGAATCTATTCCTTTTGCCTTCTTTAGTGTCTAGAGGTTATTTTCTTTCTCTGGCTTGTGGCTTCTTCTGCCAGTTTCAAAGCTATTAACTTGATAGAATCTATTACACTTGTCACTTGGACCCCAACCCCAGCTTCCCACATGTCCCTCTTCCTGACTCCATGTGGACCCTGGTGATGACATTGGGCTCATCTGCATAAACCAAGACAAAGTCACCACTTGAAAGTTAAAGGCCTCTGCAAAGTTCCCTTTGCTATGTAGGATGGCTTTCCCAGGTTCTAGGGAAATCTTTATGGAGGGGGCATTTTTGCTAACACGGGAACTCTGATATTCAGGAAAAACAATTAGGGGATTGTGGCTAAGAGGTAGAAAAAACACAACTATCAAGGATGAGTATCACTTATGGTAAGAATGGGAAGGATTTCAAGGTCACTAAGTTCATAAACCTTTGACTCAGCATCCTCACACCTAGAAAGCTGGGTCAACCAAAGTACAGTGATACTCTGAAATACTATTAAAGAGAACACAGTTCATTCATTCACCAAATGGTTATTGTGTGAACTATTTTCAACATTGAGGACTCAACTATGCACATGTCCCTGCAAACTAGAGTCTTAGCCCCAACTGGCCCTCTACTTGTTTCGTAAATAAATTTTATTGGCATGCAATACACATTCATGAACTTACAAAGGGTCTATACTTTCCTTAAGTTGTGAAAGTATTGCATAGTTATTGTGTTGAGTAGTTGTTGCAAAGATTGGTCTAAAAACTTAAAAATTTGTTTAATTAAATGAGTCAATTTTGGGGTCAGGGTCTCACTATGTAGCCCTGGCTGGTTGGAACGTGTTGTGTAGACCAGGCTAGCTTCAAACTCACAGAGATCCACCTGCCTCTGCTTCCTAGTTTCTGGGAATAAAGATGTCCTGAGTCCCACTTACTTTTTAAAAAAAGATTTCACTCTCTTTTAAGTGTGTGTGTGTGTGTGTGTTGTGTGTGTGTATATTACATTCTCTGGAGCTGGAGTTATAGGCAGTTACTGTGGGTGCTGGGAACCAAACTCAGGTCCCCTGGAAGAGCAATAAACCGTCCTACCCACAAATCATTTCCCTTGAGCATGATAGGAGTGTAGTGCACTAAGTTAGCTATATCTACAGAACAAAAACTGCACATAGTATACCCAACTCCTCACAGGAGAGTGCACAGGAGTAGCCTGAATATGCTACTGCCTTTGATTCCTTTATTGTTTAGTAACAAAACAAATGGCTTTAATATATATGTGAGACCATTTTTGTGTGGGTGTTAGGTTGCCCACCCCCCCCCCCCCGTGTGTGTGTGTGTGTTGTCTCTGAGTTCTGGGCGTGGAGCTCCCACAGGTCTCTGAGCATGCTAGAGAAGCGGTCTACTTGGGCCCTTGACTATTTTTTAACAGTAGTTGGGCAGGTTCTATATACAGCCATACTTCATCAAGTCTCACAGCCTTCCCTACCCTTATCCCACCAGCTCTTCTCTTGAATGTGTCAAACATACACCCACTGCAGCCCCTTTTCATTGAACAGCTCTTCATTTCTAGAACATTCTTTATTATGGCTTGCTTCCTGGCTTTCTTCTGCTTTCTGCTCAAAGTTACCAGAGGAGCCCCTTCTACTCATGCATCCTCCCCTGCACTCTGCAGTCTCTTCCAACCACCCGTTGCACTCTGCAGTCTCTTCCAACCCCTCCCCTGCACTCTGCAGTCTCTTCCAACCCCTCCCCTGCACTCTGCAGTCTCTTCCAACCACTCCCCTGCACTCTGCATCCTCTTCCAACCCCTCCCCCTGCACTCTGCAGTCACTTCCAACCCCTCCCCTGCACTCTGCAGTCTCTTCCAACCACTCCCCTGCACTCTGCAGTCTCTTCCAACCACCCCCTGCACTCTGCAGTCTCTTCCAACCCCTCCCCTGCACTCTGCAGTCTCTTCCAACCCCTCCCCTGCACTCTGCAGTCTCTTCCAACCCCTCCCCTGCACTCTGCATCCTCTTCCAACCACTCCCCTGCACTCTGCAGTCTCTTCCAACCACTCCCCTGCACTCTGCAGTCTCTTCCAACCACTCCCCTGCACTCTGCATCCTCTTCCAACCCCTCCCCCTGCACTCTGCAGTCACTTCCAACCCCTCCCCTGCACTCTGCAGTCTCTTCCAACCACTCCCCTGCACTCTGCAGTCTCTTCCAACCACCCCCTGCACTCTGCAGTCTCTTCCAACCCCTCCCCTGCACTCTGCAGTCTCTTCCAACCCCTCCCCTGCACTCTGCAGTCTCTTCTAACCCCTCCCCCTGCACTCTGCAGTCTCTTCCAACCACTCCCCTGCACTCTGCAGTCTCTTCCAACCACTCCCCTGCACTCTGCAGTCTCTTCCAACCCCTCCCCTGCACTCTGCAGTCTCTTCCAACCACTCCCCTGCACTCTGCAGTCTCTTCCAACCACTCCCCTACACTCTGCAGTCTCTTCCAACCCCTCCCCTGCACTCTGCAGTCTCTTCCAACCCCTCCCCTGCACTCTGCAGTCTCTTCCAACCCCTCCCCTGCACTCTGCAGTCTCTTGCAACCCCTCCCCTGCACTCTGCAGTCTCTTCCAACCCCTCCCCTGCACTCTGCAGTCTCTTCCAACCCCTCCCCTGCACTCTGCAGTCTCTTCCAACCCCTCCCCTGCACTCTGCAGTCTCTTCCAACCCCTCCCTGCACTCTGCAGTCTCTTGCAACCCCTCCCCTCCCCTGCACTCTGCAGTCTCTTCCAACCCCTCCCCTGCACTCTGCAGTCTCTTCCAACCCCTCCCCTGCACTCTGCATCCTCTTCCAACCACTCCCCTGCACTCTGCAGTCTCTTCTAACCCCTCCCCCTGCACTCTGCAGTCTCTTGCAACCCCTCCCCTGCACTCTGCAGTCTCTTGCAACCCCTCCCCTGCACTCTGCATCCTCTTCCAACCACTCCCCTGCACTCTGCAGTCTCTTCCAACCCCTCCCCCTGCACTCTGCATCCTCTTCCAACCACTCCCCTGCACTCTGCAGTCTCTTGCAACCCCTCCCCTGCACTCTGCATCCTCTTCCAACCACTCCCCTGCACTCTGCAGTCTCTTCCAACCACTCCCCTGCACTCTGCAGTCTCTTCCAACCACTCCCCTGCACTCTGCAGTCTCTTCCAACCCCTCCCCCTGCACTCTGCATCCTCTTCCAACCACTCCCCTGCACTCTGCAGTCTCTTCCAACCCCTCCCCTGCACTCTGCAGTCTCTTCCAACCACTCCCCTGCACTCTGCAGTCTCTTCCAACCCCTCCCCCTGCACTCTGCAGTCTCTTTTCTTCTCTTTGCTTGCACAGCTTTTCACCCCTTGTCACGCTGACAGCAGCTTCATCAGAGCATTGATGCTGCCCTGGTTCTTTTCTCAGCAAATGTGATGCCATTCTGGGCTTGTTCAGGACCCAGGATGTGGAAATCTGCTGGAGAGTTTCACACATCCATGGATTCATTGGGATATACAGGTGGGAGGACATTTTCCAACTTCTGTTTGTGGTCACCTGTTAGTGCTGTTAGGAAGCCCAGGAGGGAGGGGCAAGGATCTGCAGGAATGCCCTCTCTTCCCCCTTTCACCGAAACATATCTGAACAGAAAGTTCAGGTTTGGCAAGGAAGCCATGGAGCAATCAGACATCATTTCTGGGGGTGTAAATATTTTACAGTCGCTTTGGAAAAAAGTGCACCTAATGTCTTGTGCTATTAAAATCTGGAAGTGTCCACTTCATGACTGAGCCATCCCACACCCTACAGAAATGAGTTCACAAGCTTGCAAGGGAAAGTCCTGGAAATACAGAACAGCATCATGGGCAAACCCCTTGTGATGGCTATTCTTGGATATCAACTTGACTATAACTGGAATGAACGATAATCCAGAAATGGAGGGCACACTTGTGATCCGGGTCTTGAGGCAAGAAGACAACACCCCTTTGATGTAGAGCTTGGGGCAGGAAGGCACACATTTAATGTGGGCCACATTTTCTGAGGATTTCATGCTGGCAGTGTATATAAGGACAATGGAATTACACACACACACACACACACACACACACACACACACACACACACACACACCGTGAGTTCTGTGACTCTAGAGAACCCTGGCTAATACTCAAGCTGGAAAACATGCAGATGCCACCCCAGGTAGACTGGAGGATTGAACTGTGGGATAGTCACAGTAGGCACCACCACACAACAGTGAGGCTGAGCCATAATGATGCAGATCTTACAAGTAAGGCAGAGAGGAAACAGCGCCCCCCGCAGTGTTATTCCACATATGCACAAACAAGAAACCTGCAAGACTGAGTAAGGGTTCTGCTGGAGGAGAAGCGCCTTCCTTTCGTGGGGGACGGGTGAGAAGAGGCCTGCAGGCTTCTGGGGGCTCTGTCCTTGTTGAATGATCCAGGTACTGATTACACCTTAAATGAGCCCTTCTCACGGGCATCTGTTACTTGGTTACTTATGAGCTGAGAATTTTGCGTGTATATTTTAATGGGAAAGTTAAAAAGATGCAATCTCAGGAAAAATTGCAGTCTGGGTGTGGTGGCTCATGCCTATGATCACAGACCTTAGGAGATTGAGTCAGGGTCACCAGGAGTTTGAGACTAGCCTGGACTACACGAGTTTCAGGCAGCTTGGACAGAGCAAGACTGTTGTTTTAAGATAAAAATACAAACAAACAAAAAACCAAACTAAAAAAACAAACAAACAAAAGAACAACAACAAAAGAATCCAATTACTTGTGATGGAGCCCTTTGGGTTGTCTGGGGGACTAAATTTAACTAGGGGCTTTGTTTATAGTGTCTGATCACTAATGTCAATTTATCTGAATCAATCATTTGTTTTTTTGTATTCCAGTTAAAAGTGAAAACTGGCTTTGAAAATGTGCCTTTGTTGCCACCAAGTGGTTGAATGTATGATTGCAGTGGTAGAGAAATTATGTGAGTTGCAATGAAACTCAGATTTCAGAAAAGTTTTGAAGTTCTGAAATTGAAATCTAGTTGTCTAGTCTCTTATTCCTCTGAGGATTTCATGCTGTTGTTTAAAATGTCATTTCTGGGCATCTTGCACTGTCTGTAAATTATTCTTTATATAAATAAACCACTGTCTCCAATTGTTACCTCTGCGGTTCCTAGCGTGCAGAAAAATAAAATACCATATCTGTTTCCCACAAACAAATCTTCTAGATATTTGGGGTCAGAACTCACTCTTTTTTTCTGTTTTTGTTTGTTTTTGAGATAGAGTTTCTCTGTGTAATTGTCCTAGCTGTCCTCAAACTAGGATGGCTCTAACCAAAAGTGATTTAGAGGAGGAAAGGGTTAATTTCGCCTATGGATTACACTCCATCACTGAGGAAAATCAATGTAGAAGCTCAAAGGCAGGCTGGCTTGCCTTCCCGTACTACATTATTTCTGATCAAGGAACAAACTTTACAGTCAAGGAAGTATAGCAGATGTGTTGGTTTGAAAGAAAATGGCTGCCAAAGGGAGTGGCATTATTAGGAGGTGTGGCTTTGTTGGAGTAGGTGTGGTCTTGTTGGAGGAAGTGAGTCACTGTGGAGGCGGTCTTTGAAGTCTCACATATGCTGAAGCCACGCCCAGCGAGTGAGCCAGACCTCTTCCTGTTGCCTATGCGTCAATATAAGAGCTCTCAGCTCTTTCCCCCGCACCATCACTAACTGCATGCTTCGCACCATGACAATAGTGGACTAAATCTCTGATCTGCAAGTGAGCCACTCCAATGAAATGTTTTTGTTTATGAGTTGCTGTGGCCATGGTGTCTCTTCACAGCAATTGAAACCCTAACTAGGACAGCGGGGATTATGGAGGATGCTGCATGCTAGCTGGCTTACAAGCTCACGCCTGGGTAGCTTCTTATATAGTCCTGGACCACCTGCTAGAGAATGGTGCTTCCCACAGTGGGCTTTACCCTTCTACATCAATTAACCATCAAGACTCCCCTCCACAGGCCAATCTCAGCCGAGCAAACCCTCAACTGAGACTCCCTTCTCGGATGACTCTAGGCTGTGTCAAGTGGACAGTTAAAGCTAAGTAGGACAGGAAGCAGGGGATACTGTATCTGGTACTGTCTGCGCCATTCTGTCTTTTCAGAACTCACTTCCGCAGTCCTTTCCAAAGCTTACAAAAGCAGTAAACGATTGCAAGTCCGGCAGGGAGCTCCAGGATGAAGCTTTCTTGAATTGTTGCCCATCCTGGAGTGGGATTTTTGGTAACTGAGCTGCCATTGACTCACACACATTCCTGTAAGTAACCCTTCACCTCTGCTTGTGAAAGTAAAGCTAGATTTGGGTGGACTAGTGTATTTTGTTGGCCTTTGGTGCTCTGTTCGATGAATAGAGCTTTGTTAATGTCTCCCCATGAGAAACCACACAATGGCAGGTGATGAGTAAATGTCAGGAAAGCATGTACTGATGGTTTAGTAAGAATGCATGGACTGGAGAAGATTTTGTCTCCCTCTTTGGTGGGGTGTGACTGGGAGGAAATGTCCCTTATTATTCTCTTCTGGTGCCAGCATGATATAACAGGAAATATTTACTGACGGAAGATAGCTGTGGAATATTGCTTTAACTGTGTAAAGGTGTGTTCCATTTGTTTATACTGCATTTGTGTCATTATGTAAAGATGTGTTGCATTTGTTTCACCTGGCCTGCCAAAAGCACCTGATTGGTCTAATAAAGAGCTGAACATCCAATAGTGAGGCAGAGAAAGTATAGGTGGGGCTGGCAGAGAGAATAAATAGGAGGAGACCTCTAGGAGAATGAGGGAGAAAGAGAGGGAGAATCCTGGGGCCAGCTAGCCAGGCAGCCACCAGCCGGGCAGGGAAGGAACAGGAAAAGTAGGACATACAGAAAGAAAAGGTAAAAATCCTTGAGGCAAAATATGGATGAAGAGAAATGGGTTAATTTAAGCTAAAGAAAAAAAAAACTAGCCAGAAATAAACATAAGCTAAGGCTGAGCATTCATAACTAATAGTAAGTCTCTGTGTCATGATTTGGGAGCTGGTTAGTGGCCCAAAAGATAAAGCCTGCTACTGATAGAAACATGTGACACTGGAAGAGAATAGCTCTGGAGTTCAAATCCACTTACTGCGTCCTCAATTTGTCCTCCCAGCTTAATAATAAGACTCACTGTGTAAGGAGGTGCAGGCATTTATGGAGATCACAGTTAAGGCGTATGCACGCTGAGAAATACTTTGTAAAGAGAGGTATGAGTCAACTCTCTCTTCTGTGATTTTTTTAACCCTGTGGCCTTTAAACCTTAGCTTCTCTGCACAGAAGGCCATTTCTTATCTCTTCCACTCTGCACAAGCAGCTTTTGCTGACTGCTCTGGGAAGACGTAGGGGAGGGCACCAGGAGAAGTGTATAAAGAAGTCACAGGCAGAACCAAGCTCTCTGTTCTGAATTCAGGGCCAGGCTGGCAGTAACCACGAACTATCATCCATTGCCCCAAGAGCTCCGAGTTGGCCATCAAGAATTAATGGCCAGGAAAGGTGTCTGCTAATTATTTTTGCACTCAAGGTGCAGAGATTACAGACACTCTATAGAGCCTGTCTCAGATCCAGGCTGGCTCCCAGTGCTGAGTGGCAATTACCTGGAAGCCATCCATCTCCGGAGAGCTCTGGGAGTCAGGATCTTGCCTGTTAGGGGCTACTCAGACACCATGTGTGTTCAGGTCTCCATATTTCTCACATAAGGCTGGCTGAGCTGGTTGCTTTTTGGTGGTCTTTCAAAGAGACCAGATCCTCTGTCCCTATCAAATTCTCCAGTGCTTCCCTGGCTTCAGCACCACGTGGGGCTGCAGAGCAGACGCAGCAAGAGCATCAGTGGTAGCAGCGAGGTTACAGCAGTCACCAAGGCAGACAGGTCACCTAAGGAGGTTTTGACTTGGAAGATGTGCTCAGGCTTCCCGGAGCCCTCTGGTACTCACTGATAGAATGTGACACAGGTGGCCAGTGTGCAGGCATTGTCTGCATCGTTGACAGCCCCTAGGAAGTAAGAATCCAGTTTCCTCTGTGATGGCAAACACTTCTCGGTTGTAGACATTGCCATTGGCTGGATGACCAGCTCAGAGGAGAAGGGATATTCACCAGCTTGGCTTCACTGGTTTCCACTTTGTCTTTACCTGCAGCTTTATCAGCTGCACATCGCTCAGAGTTTCAGTGGCACCTATGGAGATGTTAGTGGCGAGGCCTAAAGGCTGGACGAAGGAGGTCTTCTGGGGCTCCACACCAATGTTCTGGACTGGCACAATGACTTCACATGAGGCAACACACCAGTGTGGACAACAGTTGGTATCTTATTGGTCAGCAGCACTGTGGTGATATTTTTGTTTATGATCTAACAAATAAAGTTTGCCTGAAGATCAGAGTGCAAAGCTAGTCACACTAGCTAGCCATAGGGGCCAGGCAGCGATGATACACACCTTTAATTCCAGCACTTGGGAAACAGAGACAGATGGATCTCTGTGAGTTCAAGGCCAGCCCAGGCTACACGAAATCGATACAGTCTAGATCACAAAGGTGATCCCAGCATTAAGGAGGTGGAGACAGGAGTGTTATTGCTGGGTGGACAGAGGAATATAGGGCAGGAGGAGACAAGAGAGAGATGCAGACTAGGTAGAAGGTAGTCTGAGGAGCAGTGCAGTCTAAGCAGTCTGAGAAGGCAGTCCAAGGACAGGATCGCTCCTTTAGTCTGAGCATAGGTAGAGGTGAGAACTCTCTAGCAGCTGGCTGCTTTTCTTCTCTGATTTTCAGCATTAACCCTAATATCTGACTCTGCGGTTTTATTATCAATACCAATTAGAATTCGTGCTACATAGCACAGCCCTGATTTCAGTGAGGTCCTCCTTGGTGGACTGAAGCTCACCTGCTCCCAGATATAAGACAATTTCTCCAGAGCTGGATTGTTTTCCAGATGGCCTGTGCAGGCATTGTATACCATGGCTGGGCTGGCTGATCTCAACTGCCAACTTGGCAGGATCCAGACTTGGCCATGAGCTAATAATGCTCTGGGCATACTGCTTGCTGGTTATCTAGATTAAGGTTAGCTTCTGAGAATGTCTGTCTGTAAGGATTATCTTGATCACATTGATGTGGAAAGACCTGCCCATTGTGGATGGAACTATTCCCTCTTCTTGGGTTCTGGAATTTATAAAAAGGGGACACTGAGATGAGCACATACATTCATTCACTCCTCTCCGCTTTTGACTAAGATGAAGTGTGACCAGCTCTCTCAAGCTCCTGCAGCAGCTGTGATGTCCCTATCACGATGGACTATAAACTGCTATTGTGAGTTTAACCCTTTCTCGCTTGAATTGCTTTTGTCATGTTATTTTTGAAACATAACTAGTACAATGATGTTCTTGCCCCATGAGCACCATAGCCTTCCCTGTAGGGACATTCAGACCTGTTGCTCCTTCAGGAGCCCAAATGTGAAGCATTTTGGATAATCATCTACAAGTTGGATGACCTTAAGGAACTAGTTGTATTTCCAGGCTTCCACCACTGTCCTCATCATTGTTAAACCTGCTTGGAAATCATGACTGCGTTGGAGCTTGCCAAGCAGGGCTTAAAGATGATGTCAGGTTAATTAGAACACCTGGAAAGAGGCAAAGTATTCTTTTTTTCCCCCACAAAGAGAGGGTCAGGAAAGTAAAGCGTAGCTGTATGTCTTGGTTTGGATTGTTCTAGAATAGGTCAAGGATTCAAGTGCATTCAAAGATCCGGGAGGCATTCCAGGGAACCCTCAGGAGAGCAGAAAAGTGAGACGGGCAAGGGATCGGCACACTGGTGTTTTACCAACCCGCCCAAACTGTGGGTAACTGACATATCACCTGGGGCCTCTGGGAAATGAATCTTGAAATTGTATCTCAAAATCATCCCAGACAGGCAAGCTGAGATATGCTGTGTCCTGAGGGTCGCTGGTTGAGGACTGCTCTGGGTAATCTAACCTATTTCGTTTGGTAATCAAGAGAGTCCCCACACAGGAAATGCATTGTTGACAGCTGGTGTGCCCAGGGAACAGCAAGGCCTGGGAGATGAGCTGGGAGAGTCTGTCCTACCATGGTTTCAAGGTTGACTCTTGTCCAGGCACTGAGCATCTATGATCTTATTTTATCTACATGTGTTTATCCAAGGCCACATCGTGGTTGGTCCTCTCTCCCTAGATCTATTCTTCAGCGATGAGGTTGGGTAGGTTAATCAATATTTCACCCTAGGGTAAAATTGAAGGGGGCATCAAAACAACTACACAAATTCCACCAACAGCCTAGCAATCAAATAGTTTTTTAAATGCAATATGAAAAAAGAGGAAACAATATAAAAAGCCACGAGGAACAAACCATTAAAACTTTTAATCAACAGGATCAGTAGCCTTGCTGAGATGAACCACACTGGAGCCTGAGGCAAAAGGAAAATCAGCACTACTGATGGTGTTCCTGATGGATTGTTTTGTACTTGGTCTAATTTCCAAAAAGTTATTGCTTAAAAACATTGTCTTGATTACTAACCTTTCCCCCACACCCTCATGCCTTAGTCTGATTTCTATGACTATAATGGAATAACACAGACAGGGTAAATCCAGACGAGCAGAGCAGTGTTTCGTTGATTGTTCTGGAGGCTGCGTTCAGGAGCACAGTGCCCCCTTCTGGCAAGGGCCTTCATGCTGTTACTGACTGTAGACATGGCATAGGGTGTCATGAGGAGAAGGAGCTCGTTAGAGACAGATAAACTCCATCTTCTGATAGATTCTCGTGGTGACCACTTGTCTGTAGTACGCATGGCCTCTCTTAAGCAGTTTTAGGTATCCTCTTGCCTTTTCCCATAAGCTCAGATGTGTCCACTCACACTATGGCTCCCAGCTGACACCAGTGGCTGCTTCTGCGACTCTTTCTTCCATGTGTCTAAGTCCTCCCACATCTGTGTATGTTCTTATATCAACACAGAAACTTCCATTCCTATGGCGTTTGGAGGGAGACTTTTTTTATTAGACTGCACCGAAGCCATTCTCTGCCTGGTGGCTTGGGGCACCCTGTGGCACAGCCTCAGCGTTTTGGCCATGTGGAATGCCTCTGATCTTTCTTTGTTTCTCCTGTAGTGGTATTTCTGTTTTTTTTTAACGTTTCCATATTGACACCAGGCATGGCAAAGGTGTCCCCAGGGGATTAAGGCAAATGCTTTTCTCCTGGCCATATTTTCTCACTGTTTCCTTTGCTCCACCGTCTTCTTCCTGTGCGTTTGATACA